AGGCTTTTGACGAGTTGTAGCTTGAAATCTAAATGTCTTAGTGAGTGAGAAAAACGGCATGCAAAGGCCCTATTGCTTGACATCTTAACGCTTTCAACCGGCCTACAAGAGAGTATTGTGTTCTAGGTCGCGTAGAGTAGGGCAAGGCAAACGGCGCTTTTTAAGGAGTGCAGGCGCGTGTTTCTACTCATGCTAACCGAATTAAGCTCTTGCATCTACAATCATGCCGGTGCCGCACGAACTTCCTACCTGCCTCTCTCAATGCTGTGAACACGACTGGTATCTTCCTAGAGGTATACCCGATGAACATCGGTTTCTGACAGCTTAAGGTGGTCTAAATAAGATGGTATCCAACAACGAGAAGCAAAGCCTGGAGGGTGAGTTGAAACGCCCTTGCCACTAATCATCATTGAGTACAAGCTGGTCGTACGTCTAACGCTAAGGCCAAGTCCTCGCTCTGGCTTCTTCTCGCCCAGGCATCTTTCCTTTTGAGAAGCTACCGCCAGAAATCAGAGTAAGGGTCTACGAATATGCACTCATCAGTCCTTGTGGAGGGTTCAACGTCACATGGAACAGCGTGGTGCGCAACAGAATCAGCATTACCGAATACCTTTCGCGAACGGTGCTTCTCGGCAAAATGTGTATCTCGATGCTGTCCCTCAACAGTGAGCCTACCTTTCCCAGCCATTATCTCATGGTCCACCCAGAGTTTAAATCGCAAGACAAGCCTCGCAGGCTATGTGCTCCATGGAATTGTTTCATCCAGATCACATGATAGAAAAGGAGATGCTGATTCAGAAAGCCTGAAGAATATATCCACCAAGAAGCCTGCAAGGTCCTCTTTGGAGGCAACCTCTTCCATTTCGACTTTCCTCTCGAGGACATGCTCTGTTGGCAGGGTCCCCATCCGAGTCACAATGTCATAGCTCTTCTATCGTCTCTCAGTGAGCCATCCAGGGGATTCGTCCGGAGCATACGCATCTATGCTGCTACCCGGCGTCTCGAAGACACATCACCGGGAGCCGGATGGCCATCCATATGTCGCTATCTGGCGTCAAACGTCCAGCTCAAGCATCTTGCACTAATTCTAGTGAATCATTGCTCCCTTCAAAAGACTGACGTGGAAGACATGCAACGTCTTTGCAAAATGGAAAAACCATGGCGAAATACATCACTTGGATATCCGGTCTGAGGTCGTTTACCCTGCATGCAGCACGCTACCCATGTCGCGATTTTCCCTTCGAAGGCCGAGGTAAATGTCCTACGACTATACCGCCGACTGCCGAAGTCATACGTCCCTTCAACGAGACACACCAATGGACGGAAGAAGACCGCACGAACGGTTCGGCCATTACGGAGTGGTGGGGGAAGTTCTCCAAAAGTATCATGCATGACCAGACATTTCGAAAGACACCATTGGAGCGCATTCCACGGCGAGCGTGTCGGTGCCTGCATCTCTCAGGGATTCAAAGAAGAACTACGCACCGAGCTCGGCATCGACTCCTCGGCACATTTGGCTGAAGCGTAGACATCTTGAGGAGCTCGACTATTCACCGGTTTGGAGGTTGATGTGGAGGTTCGGTGTGCACGGATATCGTCGTGGGAGGACAGCATGGTTCCGCCGCGTTGGGATGTCCTGAGATTGGCGTTGGAGAAGGTTGAAGAGCACTCCTGACTCACACAAACTCCGGGACACTATAGCATTACTCTACGAGGCTAAGCATGAGCTTAACGCGACGGAAGTAGGAATTGTTTCATGTTTATAGTTCTCGGCAGACTCTCTACAAATCGATCAGACCGTGCCAGCTTGGGGATATGATACAGAGTTTTACTCCGGCCTGTCAGACGACACCAAGAGCAATATCCATCATGAACATGTTGATTATCGACCAACTCTCATCATCACGCCGTCGCTGTGCCCCTCTCTCCTTCCCGTCTCCATTCCTCGCCGCTGGCTTCCTGGAAGACGTTGATCTCGCACTGGCACTTGCCCGTGTACCATTCCGCTTGGTGGTCCTGCTTGAGGGGGCAACGTGCTCGTCGTGGTAGTTTCTGGCGATGCGAGCAGGAGAGGCATCACACCAAGTTTGCTTCCGCACAGGTTTACCTTGGCTTGCGGTCTCGGTCTGTGAGAATCGTTTGGTCTGTGTCCGACTGGGGCGTAGATCTTCCAAGCTTGGGCCGCGTCCCACGGAGCTCGACCCAACGATATCGGCAATGATTTGAAGCAAAAGATTCCAGCATCCCTGTGGTAGCTGTCCTCTCGAGGGTGGCCCTTCAGTGGAAATCGGGACTCTCCTTCGACTCCGCGATGACTGCATCGAGCTCGGCTTTCTGCAATTTTTCCAGCGACGCAGTATTTTCCTTGTCCTTTCTGTCTGCTTCGGCCTCCTGAAAGGCTTCCTCCAGTTGAGTATCTGCCGTGTCTCCTTCCCCAGACTTGGAGGTCATAGTCTTTGCCTCGGGACCCCGAGCAATGGCCTCTTCAGCCGCCTTTAGCGCGACCTCGAGCTTCCGCACGCCTTGTACTATCTTCTTCGTTTTAAAAGACTCTCTTCCAAGAGTCTCCAGCTCGAGCTCCGCGTCCTCTAACGTCTGACGGACGCTCTCCTTGGAGGCATCATTGTAGCTTGCCTGGGTGCTATGTCGGAAGTCTTGCACCTTTTGCAAGAGACGTTTCCCGCCTATCGTTGCTGACCAATTGGCTTCGATATCGCTCGGTGTGTCTCCGGAAAGCTTGTCATATGCAACGGTCTCCTGGAGCTCGGTCATGCCGCCCCCAATGACGGTCTGGTCAGAGGTTTCGTCGGCATATTCCATCTCTCTTTGCCCAAGATAATTTTCTGCAGCATGGCGATGAGTGAGGAAGAGAAGGATAAGGGTAAAGAGGGTAAGGAAAGTGCCTAGGTATTTGGGCGATGAGACAAGCATTGTGGCGAAGTTGGAAACGTCAGTCAGCAAGTGAAAGGGAAATGGGTGATGCTGGGATGGTGTAGAAGAGTAGAAGAGTAGAAGAGGAGAAGAGCAGAAGAGGGGCCCATGACCCAGAGATATATGTTCTCCAATTTATGAAACAGACTACCTACTTGGCTGTGCTCGCTGACAGACCTTAATCACGGACTTTACGCCTCGTGAGGCTTACCTTACCTTACTTCCTACACTGACTAGCCTTCTAGCGTTACTTGGACCAGCAACCAACAGATTTTGTGCCGTGACTGTTGTTGGAGGTATTTAGTTCGTATTACCTAGGTTTGATTCCTAATGGCGCTGGTACAATGGTGTTGCGGTGCTTTTGATTTTCTGCCAGCGCCATTAGGAATCGAACCTAATACGAACGAAACACCTCCAACAACACGACCATCACCAACAGGCGTCCGCCCCGGACGGTAAGCCAACCAACGAACATTTCGCTTTGCAAATCAATAGAGGGGTTTCGCAACATAAACTTCAATTTTAGTTGCGCAGCATTACGAGGTTCAGGGTCCCACGCTAGCCCGATCGGGTAGTAGCCGATGTTCAAACGAATATATCCGTAGATATTCCGCGCTTCCGAATGCCCTCTTAAAATTTCTACTTTTGATTCATATCACTTATTTCATCCACGTCTACCACTATGACGTCTCTCCAACAAGGGGAAATGGTCGCTATGATGACTGTCTTGATATGTGTCGTTCTTTATCATCGTAAAAAGCACCGCACGGAATACGAACCAACGGCTGTTCCCGGTTAAGAACTTTAAAAACCTGAGGCTAATGGCGCTGCCAATAAATATAAAAAGCACCGCAACACCATTGTACCAGCGCCATTAGGAATCGAACCTGATACGAACTAAATACCCCCAACAACAGTGACCTCAAAACAGCCGGTTACGGAGCTATACCGGATATGGGCAAGGTTGATGGCGGGATGGCGGGATAGCGGGGCGTGCGGCCTCACTATGTAGGTAACATTCGGCTTTCTTGGCATGTTTCAGATTACGAGTAGCGGCGTATTGGAGACTCTTTCCACTCTCCTCCTTCATGAATAATCCCACCTGGAGATCATGGGCTTGCTGAAATGGAGTAGAGCTCTTACAAGTACGGCTCCGGTTAGGGTGCTACACCTGTAGCAATTGAAGGTCGGTTTCTAGTGACGCTGTCATACCGCGGCCGCCAATGGTACCCTACTCTACAGAATACGGTCACCAGTGTGGAAGGCGTATCCGTTTTGAAGCTCCCAGGCTCCACGTCTCCCCAGGCCAAGCCGCTTTTCCAGTCCTCTGTTTGTAGGGAACAGCCTTCGAAGATGCACAGACTTCGAATGATTGCCGTGATTTTCCCCTCCAGGGAATATTTCCTCTGTAGGAGAGAGCCTGCCAGTGCTTTCTCATGGCCCAAGGCTTGCGCCGAAGAGTAAGGACTTGCTTGGTAATGTGTTCCGGATTGCTGAATCTGCTAGCGACAAAGGCATCTCTATAATTCCTATGAATTAATCCGATGCACGTTCAATGACAAAATATAACACCATATCCCGTAAATACTTCACATGTCGCTCTCTCAATGTTCCTGCAGCCTTGGCATGTCCTGACGTAAGGTAAGAGTAACTTGAAATGGCTAGCCACCGGATGATCGACAGCTAAAATCCAAAAGATCTGGAGAAGAAGTGGTGTGAATCTAGTGTTTTTAGCCTTGGAACCTCAAATTCTCCGACTCTGAATCTTCCCCGGACGGTCGCATCGACGACATACGTTCGGAATTGATTTCTGTCGCCGTTGGCACGTCCGTATGTACCCTATGAAGCTTTGTGACCCCCATGAAAGAATAGAACCCTATCGTTGCTGGTGGTGGAGGGAGGGGGGAAAGTGTTGCTAGGCTTGCTGGTGAAATAACAACAGAACCTGTAGAAACCATTCGAACACCAAAAAGTGAGCTCGCGTTCTGATCTTTCTTACTCTTCTTCATCAGCATGTACCACTTTCATACTTTGATCATACCTTGACAACAATCATCAACACCGCCGTCATGGGCCTCTTCAAAGGCCTGATGAATGTCATGGCTCCAGAAATCGAGAACACGGAAGAAGCCTTGCAGCAGGGTCTGGCAAATCTCACATGGGCTAACACGAACCATAGAAAGTCACATAGAAAGTCAGTCGCACCACAGCCGCGTCCAGCAGGTCCTGTGCAGACAGAGATTCCGCAGAGAGTAGATACTCCTCCACCGCCAGTTCCTGAGAGAAATCCAACCCGTCCAGGTTATACTCTACGAATCCAGCAGATCCAACAACAACATCATCAACTTGAACAAGAGCATCAATTTGAACAAGAGCGTCAACTCCAAGAGAAGCCACCAGTCAATCACCAGGAAACTTCAGACCTCCCCCAGCCTCAGCTAGAGCATCGAAGACGAGTGACTTCACCGAGTGACGCTGAGGTCAGTAGGTTTCTTCGGGAAACTCGTCCAGGTCTTCAAAGACGAGAGACTTCGCCAGATAGTTGCAGAGACGATCCGAGCGCCCAGAGGGTGGGGGGCAGGAGAGTTTTTCCAGCCATCCACCAAATTCTTCACCATCCGCAACCAAGACGCGTACGTTCCATCATGGCGGGGACCAGACGCACTGGTTATCTTGATGTGGCTGCTGCAAATACTCAGCGAATCACCCCGCACCAGATTTTCCTGAGAGGCCAAGTCAAGAGACAACAAGATGCAACCGATGAGTGGGCCCGTCGGACCGGCAAATCTGCTCCGCCGTACCAATTCGAGGACTTCATCGGAAAGGGTGCCTATGGGCGAGTCTTCAGAGCGTAAGCCCGGATCTTTAACAGTTTCATCATTGTGGAAATACCGTGGTTGAAAAATTTATCATTTGCATCTGTTCCATCAACCCGAAGCCTGAAAATTAGAGATTGTCCCATTGTGTGTTACAAACCAATATCTTTCGTGATTTTGCAGCTGAATTTCTCCACACACTACTGGATCTTACGAATGCTTCGGCTAACATGTCCTCGACAGGGTTCATAAAGTCTCCCAGCAACAGTTTGCCATCAAGGTTATGGACGCAGATGCGGTGGACATTCGAGCCAACGCGAAATTCCGGGACGAAAGCATCAAAGAATTCATGCACGAGACTAAAGTTCTTAAGAAGTTAGCAGGAGCGCCGAACGTCAATCAGATTTTTGATGTTATGGAAGTAGAGGCTCAGCTTTGGATCATCAGCGAATATGTTCCAGGGGGCAGTGTGAAAACCCTGGTAGGTCGCAGACCCCGAATTGTCTTCCCGAACCCATCTCAGCCCTGCTCAGGTATCAGTGTTTGTGCGACATGCTGATAAATGATAGATGCAAGGCACTGGAGGAAAACTAGATGAGTCGTACATCTTGGTTATTGCTCGGGAGGTAGCAAAAGGCCTTAAAGCAGTCCACAATTCTGGGATAATACACAGAGACCTGAAAGGTGAGGCCTAGCACCAACACACTTTCCTTGCAGGCGCCGCTCTCAAATGCTACCTGTAAATGGGATCAGAGACTGACTGATCTTGTCTCGTGCAGCTGCCAATATCATGGTTCATGAAGAAGGCCGAGTTCAGATCATCGACTTTGGTGTTTCTGGTTTGATGGAAACGAAGGCCGACAAACGCGGAACTATTATCGGCACTTTCAATTGGATGGCCCCAGAGTTGTTAAAGCACGCGAAAGGTGATCTCGGAGACGACCGGCAAGCCCCTGATGGTACAAAGTTTGGTATAGAGGTGAGTGATTGAGATGGCGAAAGCGACATTATGGCTTGGCTCTAGACAGAGGCTGACAGTTCAAACAGATCGATGTCTGGTCTTACGGCTGTACTCTGTTTGAGATGGCCAGGGGAAGACCACCGAACGCAGGATTAATGGGTGCGCGTCAAATAGAGTCAATGCTTAAGCGCAACAACCCGAAGCTGAAGCCTGAAGACGGGTTCTCACAGAGGCTGTGCGATTTGGTGGCATTTGTCCTGGAATTGAAACCTGAAAGACGTCCGGCTATGGACAATGTCCTCCGACACCCATATATCCACGAGACTGAAAAATCACACCCAACGACCATACTTCGGCAACTGATCAGAGTCTATGAGGACTGGGCATCATCAGGAGGCCAACGTCAATCGCTGATCCAGCCTTCTGGAGCCGCCGCTGCTGAATTTCCTGAAGATCCGAAAGATCTCGGAGATTGGAGGTTCAGTGTGGTTAATATTGGAGAATCAGCCTATGATAACGTTGATAACACGATACCATCATTCCACAATGACCCAACAATGGATCCTACCATGGATTTGGAGTTGGCACAGCGCGAAGAGAACAACCTCAATTCACTGATTCCGGAATCCTCCTACACGCCAGATGCCTCGCCACGATTGACTAGCAATCCGGCAGATGGCCCCGATGACAACCTCGACCCCACTCACGGCATCACAATGAAGACCACGGCATCAGAAGAGTTACGAATCCTAGGAGTTGGTGCACGCTTCGCAAACTTTTTCGAGGGTGCAGGGTACTCGGGTTCAGAAGCCACTCAGTCTGCAGAACCAAGTCGTCCTCACTCCGACCTACTGCTTCGCAATGATACTTCGGAATCAGATGCCAGTCAGAAAGAGAACAAGAAAAAGTCAAATTTTCGGGGCACTCCAGTGGACACTGCTCGAGCCAATCAAAGCGAACAACCTGTTGAGCAACCTATAGACCGCGAGGCTCGTCGCGGAACATTACTGCAAACTTGGGACTTCGACATGGCCTCTAGGCCAGCTCAAGAGCCTCAGCATGAGCTCGCTCCGGGGGCTAGTATCATCCCCGACTGGAATCAGAACCATCGGGTCCCTAACCACAGCTTCGAGGATCTTGGAGCTCCAGACGATCACGTCGAGGTGGTCGGACAGTCTTATGCCTTTCCCAGTCGTCCGGCTCTTCACCATTATGCAACAGCTCCAGTCGAGCCTCCCATGGTCCAGAACAACATCGACACCGCGAGTTCTCGCCAAACCCTCGATCTCGACGCTCTGATGAACGAAGGCATTCATAACTACGACGCTCCACCATTACAACAGTACGGCTACAACGCTCTCTCGCCACAGCGATACGACGCCCCGAATCCCTACCAATCGTACGTCAACGCTGCTGGCCCTGCAGCTGTAATCGACTCTCACCACTATGGTTACAACGCACCTTCCCCACGCAACGACTACCATGTCGACGCAATTAGCCCCGCCACCAGAGCTGAACCAGAAGATGATCAGTCCCAGTACGCCACGATCACAGGGCACGCAGCCACAAACGGCACATCATCTTACGACCTTACTGAGCGTGCACCCGGCACTTACAACGGACTCACTCACACACCAGCAGAGAGCTTTGACGGATCCGATCCCGACGAGATCGCTCGCCCCAGTCCACCTAGTGCTGCTGCCATGGCTGACGATGCTCCTGTGGAGGTTGTGGAGGCGGAATTACTGAGGCTTTCGCATGCGTGGGAACGGGCTCTGCGCTCCGCTGCTGACTTTTGGGGTGACGGTCCTACCATGAACTCAGACACGGACGGGGAGGATGGTGGGGGTGATTCCACTGGGCTGGATGACAATCAGGCGGAATACTGAGGGCTACTTGTACGCAGTCTGAGGCAGCGATGCTGTGGATATGGACAGGAAATGCTATGTTAATACGGGTGCTTTACCGCTGGATATACCCCCCCCAGGCGTCAGGAAGGAGATCCTTGTGGATCGGTCAATCGTCGTTTCATAACGTCTTACCTTTCTCGTAGAACAGGATAATAATCAAGCTTGAATCACACTCTAACGGTCCATTGAGCTGCGTGACTGGTCGTGGTTCGAAGGGTGAAAGTGCGTTTTGATGGAGAGCATGGTGGTGTGTATAAGGGCCTTGAGCCAACACGTACACCGGAAGAGTGCCTGCGCGCTCTTGCAGAAGCTGTTCCAAGGGCTACTCGCCCAACGGATGAAGCGGTAGGTGTTCCGATGCGACCGGCGAACGTCGCTATAGAGGATTCAAACCTGTGGTGAGCAAACGGCCTCGTGATATAGACCATTGATTCGTTGTGGAAGCTATGTACAATAATCCAGTTGAACGCCTGAGCGACAATCTTATTCCCTCTTTCTATGTGGGATCTATCGGTCAACCTCCCCAAACACCTGCAACCACCAAGTCAGCAAGCCCATCGCACTGGCACATCAGCAGGAAGTAACTCACCAGATCCATCGTCCCAATGATAGCCACCGCATCCGCCAAAAGATGGCCCCGACTGATCTGATCAAAGCTCCCTAGATGCGCAAACCCCGGCGCCCGAATCTTACATCTATACGGTCTCTCACTGCCATCACTCACTACAAAGACACCCATCTCTCCCTTCGGTGCTTCGATCGCGCTATAAGTCTCTCCTGGAGGGACGGTGTAGCCTTTTGTGAAGAGCAGGAAGTGGTGGATCAAGGCTTCCATGTTTTCTTTCATTGCTGCTCGGGGAGGTGGGGAGATCTTGTAGTCTTCGACTCTGATGGGGCCGGGTGGCATTTTGTTGAGGCATTGGTGGATGATGCGGAGGGATTGGCGGAATTCTTCCATGCGGCAGAGATAGCGATCGTAGCAGTCTCCATTTACCCCGACTGGGACGTCAAACTCTACCTGATCGTACGCATCGTATGGTTGGCTCTTGCGTACATCCCAAGGTACACCGCTGCCTCGAAGCATGACGCCGGAGAAAGAGTAATTGAGAGCGTCGGCGGCGGAAACAACGCCAACACCTTGGGTTCGACCTTTCCAGATTCGGTTGTCTGTAAGTAATTCTTCAGTTTCGTCGATCCGGTCGCCAAATTGAGTCGCCCATTGGTAGATGTCGTCGAGGAGGCCGAGGGGAAGGTCTTGGTGGACACCACCAGGGCGGACGTAGGCCGCGTGAAGGCGGGCGCCAGAGACACGTTCGTAGAATTCCTGTCGTCCTCTTAGAGTTCCATTCGTCCTGAGGAAAGGTGATTGCCACAAGGCACGGGTAGGATAGGGGAAAGATATCATACCATCAACTTCTCTCTCTCCTCAAAGCCCCACAAAAAAGGCGTGAGCGCTCCCACATCCATAGCATGACTGAGTACACTCATCAAATGGTTCAGCACCCTCGTAATCTCTCCAAACAACGTCCTGATCCACTTCGCCCTGTCCGGCACCTCAATGTTCAACAGCTTCTCTACCGCGAGCGAAAAGCACTGCTCATTGGTCATCATAGACACGTAATCCAGCCGATCAAAATAGGGCAAAGCCTGCAAATACGTCTTGTATTCTATTAACTTTTCCGTTCCGCGATGTAGTAGCCCAACATGCGGATCCGCGCGCACAATTTCCTCGCCATTCAGCTCGAGGATCAAACGTAGCACACCATGGGCGGCAGGGTGCTGAGGTCCGAAGTTCACGGTGTAATGCCTGATTTTGCGGTTCTGAGCCATTTCCCCGTCTTCTGGGGTGAGGTTCATATGCTGGGGCTCATCGGGGTTTATAGGGTGGCCGAAGCGCTCGTCGACAGGAACGAGGCGAGTACCGGTTTGTTCGGCAGGCTGGTCGGACGGTGTGGCATAATGGCGAGGTGATGAGGTTGCGACTGTTCTTCTGTAGCTGGGGCGGGAGAGGGATGTGCGTGAGGTGGCGGGCCGAAGGCAGAGTCGTTTTGCAGAGTGCCCGGCCAAGCGGGCAAAGGGCGATGCCATTGTGCCCGATGGCTAGAAGAAGAGGGAGTACACGAGGATTGGAGGGGTATGAGAGACACTGTCGAGGTGGTATTAAATGAGGTTCGCTGCATGTAGAATATTGGAGCTCGATGATGCACTCGACTTTCTCCGCTGGCGGCTGTTTGCCGCTTTGGCGCGCTCGAACTTTTTGAAGCTGTCAATTCATCGTGCGAAAATTGTAAGATCGCAACCACCATGGCTCCGGAGCCCATATTGCCAGAGGAAGCTCGGCGACGGAAGGTATGATATCCATCGGCCTCCAGTAACTTCTATAAGCTAATTATCGCACAGATAGTAGGCGTCAACGCCGAAACAGTCACGAATGTCACATCCACCGACTTCCCCGGCCATCACCCAGGCGAAGACCACGAATGGAGCCTTGAGAAATTTGACCAAGTATCTGCCTCCTTACTTTCCTCATTACACCTCCTGTATTAATATAATCTACAAGAATTTCCAAATCCAATTCCACAAAAACGACTCCCTCGATGCCTCCTTCTCCCTCATCGGTATAGACGCCAGCATCGCCAACGCCTTCCGCCGAATTATGATCGCTGAAATACCAACCCTGGCCATTGAAACCGTCTTTGTCCACAACAACACCTCGATAGTGCAAGACGAAGTACTCTCTGCACGGCTCGGTCTAGTTCCTTTGACAGCGTCCCTCTCAGGTCTGAATTGGTTACAATTTTACAAGAAATCTGCTACGCCGGATGATGATGATGAGGGAGGAGATGACAGAGACGCTGCTGCGGATAACAACACGGTCGTTTTGAAGCTGTATGTAGAATGTGAGTGGAGAGGAGCAGAGGGTGTTAAAAGTGGGGAGACGGATCCGGAGAAGTTGTATGTCAACTCGAGTGTGTATGCGAAGCAAATAACCTTCGAGCCTACTGGACGGCAGAATCAGGAATTTCCCGAGCCAGATGGGCATGTTCGGCCTGTGAACCCGGAGATTCTGCTTGCGAAGATGCGGCCGGGGCAGGTTATTGATCTGGACATGCATTGCATCAAGGGAATCGGAGCAGATCATGCGAAGTTCAGTCCTGTGGCTACGGCGACGTATCGGTTGTTGCCGACAATCGATATTGTCAAGCCCATTATCGGGAACGACGCCAGGAAGTTTGCTAGATGTTTCCCGAAGGGCGTCATTGGGTTGGAGGATGTGACGGAGGAAGAGAGCGAGATTGGTAAGGAGTTGGAGGGGATGGCCGGAGAGAAGAAGGCCGTGGTGTGGAATACGTTCAAGGATACTGTGAGCAGGGAGTGCTTGAGGCATGACGAATTTCAAGGGAAGGTGAAGTTGGGAAGAGTAAGGGATCATTTCATCTTCAGCGTCGAAAGCACCGGCCAGTTTGATAGTGATTATTTGTTCCTCGAGAGTGTAAAGACTCTCAAGGCGAAATGCAGCCGCCTCAAGCGACAATTTGCAAATGTAATGAGGTGACAGTACGGGAAGCATGATCAAATAGCGGCATTGCATGGCGCTGGGGGAACATAGATCTAGATAGCCTCTGGGCTGATGCCTTGGCTCATCATTCCGACCATATCAACGTGCTCGCAGATCGAGGCTTCAAGCTTCAAGCTTCAAGTTTCAAGTCCCTAGAGTAAAAGGTGAACGTCATGTAGAATCTTGTCTGACAACGTCTTCGTGAGGTGTGACAATTGCTGGCAATTCAGCGGTTTTCGCTATGCTTCACCTTAATCAAAGAGGTCGCGAGCTGGGAGCAAGTACTGGGACCGGCTTCGGGCGCCCTGCGAGAATGTGCTTGGTCCGGTGTCTCTTCAGTCACCATGTCGATACCCCTAGATGGGGAGGGGAGTGGCTGGTAATATAGCCACGGATCAAGAGACGAAGATAAGCTTGTACTTAAAGGCGATGGTGAATGCCGGGTCGGAAACGCCAATCTCTTCTCCGTCAACTACCAATTCCGAAAGCTTCTTCGAGAGATTTGGTGCCGTCTGCTCTCTGAGCGATTGCGGAAACTGAGAATAGAGAGACCTTTCCTCGCTTCTTAAGGTAGGTTTCTTGAGTTGCGCTTCTGCTCGCTCGCCCAAACTGTCGATCAAGTCTTGCAAAGTCATATTGGGATTGACCGTCAGGTTTCTAGCCAGGTTCCCGCATACAGGACAGTCCTCTTTCCGCTCGGTGTCGAACGTGTATGTGTAGACACCTTCGTCTCCACTGTACATCATGTAGTTTTGGAGGAAGGGGTTGCAGCTCGTTGCGATCTTGAACGCTTCGTTACAGCAAGCAGCGGCAATAATGGCATTCGTGGATGCGATGGCTGGTATGATGTTTTTGACGACGCCTTGGGTCAACGAATAGGTAACCCCTGGGATGTTGAAGTCTTGGGCACGGGCCAAAGCCTTTTGGTAGAGCCAAGTGATGTGTTCTGGGTCGTCAGTGTCGAGCACTTCGTCTTTGCGATGCTCCTCCCAGGCAATGATGTGCGCCCACTCTATGCAGTGTGATGGTTGCCGCGGTATTGTCGCTAGCGTACATAGTGGTACAGCGGCGCGAGGAGCGTGCATGTCCAATTGGCATTCGATGCACGAGTTCATGGTGGGCAGAATGACTCTGGCTTGGCCCTTGAATCCTGAAAAATCCACATCAGCTTACAAAACGTAGACCGGATGTGCTTTTGCATCTACCTTCGGTTCCTCCATCGATGAGTGGTTTCAAGCTCTCAGGATCCTCCATGTCGACCATATCTACCAAAGTGGCATTGATCCATCGTCTTGCCTCGATACTATCAAGACCGCAAATGACCATTTTGAACTGCATGTAGTAATCCTCGTCCTTGTCTTGAATTTTGCCATTGTATGGAGTGATTTTGACGCCTTTGACTCTCTTCTCAACGAACGCCGCAGCCACTTCGGCCTTTGACTTGCCGACATCAGCTTCTCGGAATAAGAACTGACGATTCAGATTGGAAACGTCGATGGTGTCTGCTTCTTGTCAGAGCCGGTTCCAGAGATGTTCTTGCTTGGGGACGTATACCCATATCGATGACATGGATATCTTTGAACCCGGAGAGGGCTAGATTCTTAAGGATCTCGCATCCTAGTCCTCCAGCCCCTCTGGAGGTCATCAGTATCAAACCAAGGTCTCGGAAACGTAGCAAGCACTTACATAACCCTACAACATATTAGCGTGTCAACGGCGCTGGGAGACTTATATCCTTACTGACAAGACCTTTGACGACTCTAGAGCGCTGATTGTCTCTGGACCGGGAACCCAGTCCGGATCGGATGCCGGACCGGGCTTACTCAAGAGGTTGTCGAGATATGTCCTGGGAAGCTTGTCAATGTTTTGTCTCATCGTCTTTGAGCATGCTGGGATCTTGACCATCTCTCTCTTGGATTGCGATTACCGTCCGTTACTGTAGACATCCTAAGGTAAGTGTACTGCTTTTCAAAAAGTGGGGAGTTTTAGGAGTGAAGTCAAATAATGCCTTCGCATAAGTGGTGTGGGAGAACCGGTCAACACAGCGAATAACTTGCCAAGACCGGACATAAAGCAGTATCCCCGATCTTGTGTGGATGTCAGACCAAGGCAAAAACACCCGTTGAAGCAATAGGATTATTGAGCGTACGCAGCGATGCCGAAATGTTTATTGAGCTTTCTGCTTCTCAATCTTGACCACAACCGAGATATTTGCATCAGAGTTCTAAAAGTATCGAATTTTCATATTGTCTCCGAGATGAGCTGGGTATTACCAAGTAGCGGTCCTCTATGTATCCCTCCATAGCATTGAGAAATCCGTCAGAAAACCTTCCAGCTGCCAATGATGTCTTCAAGAACCGTTCTCTCCATAGGGTAGGCAGTTCGTCTCATGTGTTCGCCAACAATAACGCCTCGCTAAATCCACAAGCTCAACCCATTCGTGAACTCCATCTCCGCACCTCCTACGTCCATCTACCCTCGCCTTCGCCCAAGCCCGCTTCAAACGGTACTATCCTCGTAGACGAATCGAATGTCCCTCGGCCGCTGCGTATTTCTCCTGACAAAATCCTCATCGCCTGGCGGCCGCTCATTTTTCGTATTGCCAGTCAACATGCTCTGGAGGCTCATGCATACAGACTCCACGTTTTGGACTGGTGACCAGCCTTGCGTGCCGAGCAGGTCGAGACAGATGATGCCGTTGGAGTAGATGTGCGGATGGATTGGGATGGTACGGAGGGGCTGCGAGAGGGGGATGAAAGTCACTTCGGGGGCTTCTGTAGGATTGAAGATGGTTAGATTCGCTCAAGGTTAGATTTGAGAAACGTGCCGGTTAGCTAAGGGATAGGAGGGGCCAGAGGGAAAGGTGGTGAGTACCTATTGGGTAATTGGTGCTAAATCGGAAGCGGAGGCGGTATGTCTGATCCAAGTAGAGCGGGTTTGCGTCTAGGACGCGGATGTCCATTTCCCATTGTTTGAAGTCTGGGGCGCTGACGAAGTCGATACCGGGGGGGAGGGATTGTTGGATCTGAGGTTTGGGGATTAGGCTGGTATGGTTGATTTAGGAGGGGAAGCGATGGGATTCTACCTTGATGAGCTCCTAAAGGTAGTGTCAGCAAGGAGGACATGAGGATATGGGAGAGGAGTGGGGGTCTCACTTTTCCCAGACGTTTAGTAGCAAACATCATGGACCTGTGAACGATGAAGGTAGATTAGAGTCCTTGCCAGTTAGGAGTTTCAGGTAAAAGGGTCAAGGTATGAGGAAGTCAGGAAGAAACATCAGGCAGTCAAAATTACCAGAAGCTTGTGGAGGCAGAAGAATGTCCAAGACCAACTTCCAAGAAGCATGAACCGCATGTCGGCCCAAGCCGGGGGATCGTCAACGCTAAGGTGAAGCGCTGCGGCATGACGCGCGTACCTACCCGCGAAAACCTGTTGGCATTATGCCTCGTGGAATATTGATAGAAGGATACGCAATCCCGGAGGAACAACGCCTTCTCAGCGTCTTTTTGGATATCATATCACATGAGCTAGAGCACATTTCGCTTCTCACCACCTTATCCTCTCCCAAAATCCCCTGTCTCAATCGCCGCCTCCATCATCCGATCCCCACTTATAACATCAGTCGTACAAATCAGAATCTTCCTCCTCCCCTCCTCACTCTTCGCTACAAATCTCAGCGCCGCAATCTCAGTGAATGTAATCCCGCCCAAGAACATCACCACCACAGTCTTTGCCTTTCCCCCAGTACCCGCAAGCATGTGTCTCGCCTTGACCGCCTGATCGTCTCCTTTCTGCACTCTATTGAAAGTCTCCCCTTTGGTATTGCGAAGTGCTTCTTCAAAGCCTTGCCAGCCATGCGCAGCGCTGCTGACGCCATTGGAGGCGGCGGAGGCTCCTTTGGTGATGGTCAGGAGGTGTTGTTTCTGGATGATAGATTGGACAAGGCGGACGGACAGAGGGGCGTAGCCGCTGTAGACATAGGCAATATCATTAGGATTTTGTTCGTTGACTTCGTCTACCACAAGTTTGAGGACCCTGCGTAGATAGTTGTAGTTCGTCTTCGTAGCTTCGGCTGCACCGCCACCCATACCGATAGGGTTGAGAAGTACATTTGCAGATGCCCGAGATGACAGGAGCCCCATCTTTTCGAGAGCGTCCAGGGTAAGGAGATGTTGGTAGCCGTAAGCGTGGAGAATTTGGCGTTTGAAGTTGTCGAGGTCTTTGGGTCGCAGACCGCCTGAGATGCAGGATTCGAGGCAGAGAAGGCGGAGGATGGCAGTGAGTGGGACATCGCGAGAGATGAGTTCTTCTATGGTATCATGTTGGTATGATGGATCGGAGCCGTCGTAGAGATTTTGCTGGACTTCAAGAGTGCGCCGAAAGATATCGCCTTGAGTATTCTTCATAATCTCTTCTGTCAGACCGATGTGCGTTTTCAGGCTTTGCTGCTCGGTTTGGTATCCTGGAAGTTTATTTACAAAGTCTCGGAGCTCAGATGTGGTTTTGGCTGTATGACGGCTTTCCATGTCACTTTGCAAGCGCCGAGCGACCTTGTTCAGCAAGCCGTCCACTATTGCACCATTGGTATCTCGAAGTTGTTCGAAAAGCTTGTCGAAAGAGTCAAGCTGTATCTTACGCTTCAAGCCTTGTTGTGCTGGCGCAGCTGGAGTCCTTCCAGACTGTTGAGCTCCTGGCGCTGGACCAACGACAGACGAGTCAATCTCTGCTTGATTGTGCTGAATGCCGAACATTTCATCTATCAGGCCTTCGTAGGTAAGCTGAGTCAGGAGCACGGTTGCAAAATCAATCTCTCGATCTATAATGACCAGGCTCTCGACAGATGCACTTGGCATCAAGCCGAACTTAGACGTTGTGCTTTCGTCCGCCGCAGCTTCCGAGCGCATGCGGAACAGCAGCTCCATCAACCGATGCGCATTATCACCCTTACCAATGATGCGTGGGAACAGGCCGTGGGCTTGCTGGATGGGCATGAGCGCTTGAGCAGCCAGGAAAATCGAGGTTGGATCCTTCCGCTATATCTTGTCAGTATGTACTGACTTTACGAAAGCTTTTACCTATCATACCAGGTACAAATCGCTGAAACAGTCGTCGAGGCATAAGGAAAGCACGTCTTGTTCCAACGGTATGAAGTGCAGAGGGAGTTCCTCAACCCCAACATCACCCAAAACACCTGCTTCTTCCAAGATCTTGTTGCATACTAGCGTACGCCTTGGAACCCAGACAACAGAAAACTCATGGTCGATGTTGCTTTGCTTCTGTAACCGCTTAATCTGTTCTGCACAAAACAGGAATGTCAGCAAGTAATGATGGCGTCGGACCTATTGCAACCGCAGGAAAACGCTATAGATCGAGCTGTATATGTGGTTTTCATTCATTTTGGGATCAAGACTGATCAAGTAGAGTAGGCGAGTATCTACGCAATCTACTTTATGATCCCATGCTAGAGCCTTGACAGGCATTTTCGATTTTTGAATACTTTTGGAGACGGCATCCAGACAAGAACATGCAGATAATGTAAAATAAGGAAAACAGACACATACATACCAGCGACAGCGATAGGCTGATTTGCCTTCTCTCCTCTCGCCAAGAAGATTACATTCTTTTGAGAAGCATCGACGTTGTCGTTCTCCAGGAAGAAGACCTTGTCGACACCATGATCCTGAAGAGTAGAGAACTTGACAAAGATCCCGATAGGTCCCGCAAGTGACTTTTCAATCACCAGGTTCTTCTTTCCACGGACCTGGGAATGTTTAGCATCTGCCTGGCCCGGAAGATCTGTTGTTGAGCCTTACATACACCTTCGAGCAAGTCCAGAAGATCCTTGCGTGCCTTTTCCCGAATATCATCGGTATTGATGCCCGAATGTGGAGCCATGCCAGCGTTTCAGACAAGGGACAGTGCAATGTCGGAGAGGGAGTGGACGATCATTGGCGGAAAGCGGAGGGCCTCCGCTACGGTGAGAGTTAAGCGCAAATGCGTCAATATCAAAATGAGTCCCACCTGCGTTTGTGAAATCAATGAGTCAATCTCCGAGCTTGCATGCGGTATATTTACAGAACTATTGCCCGGCTTGAGTGCCTCAATTTGAACTCTCAAATCTCAGTCAGCATTTCCAACCCATCCACCTTTTACAAAAGAGCCTTCTGTACCCAAACACTCGTTACAAAGACCGCAGACATGGGGAAAGACAAAGTCCCCTACCAGCTCAAGACTCCCAAGGGGACGAAAGACTGTACACGTTATTCCTCCATTCACCACCTAGTCCGCCACTAACATATGAAGCAGGGGAGGGTAAAGATATGGTAATCCGCGACCGCATCTTCAACGCCGTAACCACCGTCTTCAAGCGCCACGGCGCCGTCACAATCGACACCCCCGTGTTTGAGCTCCGTCCCATCCTCTCCGGTAAATATGGCGAAGACTCAAAACTCATCTACGATCTCTCCGACCAAGGCGGAGAACTCTGCTCCCTACGCTACGACCTCACCGTCCCCTTCGCGCGATGGCTCGCCATGAACCCATCAATACAGAGTATAAAGAGATATCATATCGCCAAAGTGTATCGCAGGGATCAACCCGCTATGACCAAGGGAAGAATGAGAGAATTCTATCAGTGCGATTTCGATGTTGCAGGGGTTTACGATCGGATGGTTCCTGATGCGGAGATCTTGAAAATCGTCTGTGAAGTGTTTGGGGGACAGGGACTTGGATGGACACAGAAAGGGGGATTTTTGATCAAGATCAATCACAGGGGCGTGCTGGATGGGATATTCGAGGTATGCGGTGTGCCCAAGGAGAAAATACGGACTATAAGTAGTGCAGTGGATAAGCTGGATAAAAGCCCTTGGGAAGAGGTCAAGAAGGAGATGGTGGAAGAGAAAGGATTGAGTGAAGAAGTTGCGGACAAGATTTGGGAGTTCGTTCAGAGGAGGGGTGGAAAGGACGTAATGGAGGAGTTGAGGAAGGACGAGCGGGTGCTGGGGAATCAGAATCTCGTCAAGGGATTGGAGGATATGGAGTTGTTGTTCGAATACTTGGAGGCATTTGGGGTGCTGGATAAAGTCGAATTCAACCTGAGCCTGGCACGAGGCCTGGACTACTACACCGGTGTCATCTTCGAGGTCGTTACGGAGGGATCAGCCCCGTCAAATACCACAGGTCAAAAGCTTCAGAAAGCCGCAAAGAAAGAAAAAACAAGCGAGTTCGACGAAGACCGGTCCAACGACCCTTCCGTAGGAGTCGGTAGCGTCGCAGCTGGTGGCCGGTACGACGAGCTTGTGGGCATGTTCTCCGGAAAGACCCAAATCCCTTGTGTCGGCATATCCTTTGGGGTCGATCGGATATTCTCGATCACAAAAGCGCGCATGGAAGCCGACAAAGGCGCCGCGGCCGTGCGAAGTACAGAAGTCGACGTCTTCGTCATGGCATTCGGAGGCAAAGGCTTCACCGGGCTGTTGAAAGAGCGAATGCAGGTCACCAAGACTCTTTGGGACGCTGGCATCAAGGCTGAGTTTGCGTATAAGCAAAAGCCGAAATTGCCTGCCCAGTTCAAGTCGGCTGAGCAGAGCAGTATTCCATTCGCTGTTATCCTAGGAGAGGACGAGCAGGCGCAGGGGAAAGTGAAGATTAAGGAGATGGGTTTACCTGAAGGTCACCCAGAGAAAGACGGGGTCATGGTTGATACGAAAGATCTGGTACAAGAGGTAAGGGAAAAGCTGAGGAGGAAGGCTGAAAGTGATGGACTGGTTGAGGGGATGACTGAGCTTGATACCAATGCGGGAGGGGAGAATATGGGACATGATGGGGGTCCCTGACGAGGGAAGGGGGATGTTGGAGCAAAGCGTCTCGAGCATCTGATGGGGCTTGTACCATATCTTGAGGAGCATCGGCGGCTGCGTGCTAGATGGATGAAGCATTTGATACCTAAATCTGCCTTGACTGGTCATCAATGGGAGTTGACATGGCAGCAACATCGTCCTGGCGCAAGGGAGTGGGACCGAAGTTGCGAAGTTCTCCAGGGGAAAGCGGGACCCTCACGGCATCTTAAAGCAGGGGGACTGCCCCAGAAGGAACCGTCAAATATTAGAGGTTCGGCCGGGGATCGAAATTTGAGCCATCGTTGACTCCACTAGTAATCACTATGTACAAAAGGTGACCTTCGCAGAGCCAGCCCGGGTATCACCGCTGAAGAACGCCTTGGAAAAACGAAACACAAAAGGAAAAAATGATCCTGTCTGTCCTGATTAGCAGCCACGTTGTCAAAAAGCTCAGTGACCGGAACGATTACACCACTGGTACAACGGTCAAAAGCAAAACCGGTAGCCAGACGTGTGGCCCCAACGGACTGCAAAGCAGCAGGGCCAAGTTCCCGAAACCGAGCTCACAATTCCGCCAACGCCCTTGCGCAGAGTTCCTGATACCTCTCCGCTGCAAACCGCTCCATCTTCCATCCACTCGCCTTGAGTCTTGCGACCCTGAATCTCAAATTTGCTGCCCTGGATTCTTCGTCCTCCCCGTGGCTCGCCAGTCTCTTTGTAAAGTACCTTGCGCTCTGTACCCCTCGGGTCTTCTGGATCAGAATGTCGATTGTTGAGATGTGGTTGGCTATCACTTCAGCGAACGCAGCGAGGCGGTTGTTGTATCGCTCGTAAGAGCGGGCCTGAAGCCAGGAGTCGACAGAGACGGAGAAGGTGATGGATGTGGGTCTGGAATCCGACTGGGCTGTGGATGCACGGCGCTGTTGCGGAGGACTGTGAGGGTGTAGGCAAGCCGAGACGGACTGCTCATCATCTCCGCTGTCCGTGAGCTCGTCCCTGAAGCTGGGGATCTTCCGTATACGCAGAGGGGAAGGCCTGAACTTCGTGCCGGCTTGAGGCGATCCGTCCGAGTCGATCGAAGAAAGTGACGAGGTGTTAGGAGTAGGGTGCCCGTGCTGACTTGAGCCGCGGGGTCTGGGTGGGTTACCACTCCAGGAATCGGATCCCTCATCACTCGGAGTTGAACATGTGGAGCGCGTATCGGCGTCGGATTGGCCATGGTAATCGTGGGCGACATCTGCTTGAGGGAGCGATGAAGCAGCAGCTTGGTAGGAGACTTTGGCCTGCTCGAGGAGGTGTATCTTGACAGGCGACAAATTATGGGTGAGACGACCTATCGCTTCGCTTGAAACCGCCGAGTAGAAGTGGAGGTAAGTAGTGTGTAATGGATGAGGCTGCTTTCCTTGTCAGTATGCTTCGGACCTGATGGGATGCCGGATTATACTTGGGTCTTTGCCTTTAGCAGAAGTTGACTGCATTGAGCGGAGCAATGTTTCCATTGTCCCTTCAGATACAAAATATTCACCTGCTCGAGAGCTGTTTTCCATTGCTGAAAAGTTTCTGGCAGCTCAGGAGACTGGTGGAATGCCATCGAAGTAGACGAGGGCAGAGGCCTCTTGTCTTTGCTGGGAGTCATGTTGGCGCTAAAAGCGTTTGCAAATGACGGTCGCTATCCAGCGCGGAGGCTTTCCGTAGCTCGAGATGGTTTGAAGAGAAGGCTGCCAGAGAGTGTTGAAAGGGAATCGAGTATCTTGGAGGTTGTAGAGACAGTGAATGACTGGCAACGATAAGAGATTTTCTGAAGAGAGTAGCCGCTTCAAGCTGGTGATGACCATGTAGGAAGTACTTGAAAAAGCAGTTGCAAGTTTTGTTGTTGTTCCTTGCGACGTCAACAGTCTCCCTGTAGGCTCGGTCTGTTGGTGTTTATTTGTCAACAACCACGACTTGAACACATTTTGCCCAACCAACGGACCAAGTGACCGACCACATTTTGTCTATGAAACGCGCCATTCCAACTAGAAAACGCAAACAACTTCAGAACACAAAGCAGCAAACGAGGCTTGATCCATGATTATCTAGTCGTCTTGTCGATGGCCGGAGGATGCAGCTCCTCAGCCAAGGGAATTGGCTCTCCATGTTTGATCTCAGCCTAGGTGCTTATTTAGCTTTTCGAGAGATCTCTTCAGAATTTTCCGATTCGAGGTCTTGTGTTGAGGGCATTTGTCACTCTACCAATGCTGAAATTACGGCTGCAAGGCGATATGCAGCAATCAAGACGCTCCAATCAAGAAAGGCGCCAGAGAGAGAAGACAAGGATGAGGGCAAACCGATAAACGAAGGGCAAAGGACCCTAATGGTCAGCACTACGAGAACAAAGTCGTCTTGCATAATCGGGAGCTGCTGTCGTTGGTTGCAAACAGTGCATGAGCATGATACCTCGACGTTAAGGAGAGATCTTTGGGTCGATCATACTTAAAGACTCATAGTTGCCAACTTCAAGTTCAAGGTCTTGGCGGTGGCAGTTGACTTGCCATTTGGCGCCGCCCGACACGTCTAAGAATAGACTGGACTCCAGGCCACACATTACTGTATGTCGCTCGGCCATTAATTTATTGTCAAGAACTTAAAAAGGAACATCGGACAAGGCTAGAAGGTTAAATAAGAAGACAAGTTGAGAAAGCAAAGCATTCGCTCGGCAAGATCTCTTACGGAGGTGCCTTACTGGAATCCGACTGGTGCTCAGGCCACTGAGGCAGTCACGGGCTGCAAGTAATAAGGCAGATTAGGACGTTCAGCTCATGGGGGCCCCCAATTATCTTCGTATGCCCTACGGACACCTCTGAAAAACACAAGTATTAGGTACTGCATCTATTTAATCCCCAGGGGGACACCCAATGGATCTCTTACAGAGTGCTCCCCATCTTTCGACTTCTCCATGCGTACGTACATAGTGCATGCAAATGATGAAGCTCTCAGGGCAAGTCAAACTCGCAAATAGGCCCATGATAATAGTGCCGTGCTCGCACAAGGTACCAAAATGTGCAGAACAACATAGCGAAGCCCCAGACCAGACACGCCCAGTTCATATCAACCGCAGTGACCTTCGCAGTCTCGGGCCAAAAGGAGAAGAAGAAGGCAATGGTAGCGTACACGAGACCAACGATGTTGGCCAAAGCTCCCCACCGGCCCAGTTTCCATGGTCCGTACCGGATGGATTGATTGAGAAAACGTCGCCGAAGGATCAAAATAATCGGCATCATATACGAAGCCAACACACTCATGACGCTGAGGGAAATGATGGCGTCGAAAGCCGTGGATGATCCAATGTTGATAAGGGCGAGAAGAAGACTAATGATGACTGTGATACCAATAGAGTAGAGAGGCAGAGCCGAGCGAGGTTCGACCTGTACGAAGATGTACGATGAGACGGGATTCTCAGTATACAGGAATGGATTGGCAAGAAAGGGATGAGTATACTTTGGAAAGCCAATTAGATCCGGGAAGGCCATTATCTCGAGCAAAAGCCCAAGTCATGCGAGAAGCCGTTGCGATCAGACTGATCGTTGCGAAGAAAACTAACGCCAGAATGACACACACCATAGCCGTGGCACCTCCATTGGAGTTTGTCGCCTGATAGAAAATTTCGATGAATGGGTACCCAGTCGGGCTCATCTCTGCATTGTCGACGTTTCCCGCGCAGAAGAGAATAGCCATGAGGGCGGCGAAGCCGAGGACGCCGTTGAGAATAGTTGTAGCGATCATTGTTCGCGGGACCACGGTCGAGGCATTTGGGATCTCCTCGGCTGCGTGTCAACAAACCGTCAGCGCATATCCATCGATAACCAACGATCCAGCATGCAAGCCATTCAAGGAAGCCTACCCATATGGCAAGCACCATCGGCGCCTGGCGGTTCTCAAGACGTCAGCTTTGATATGACCGCCGGATCGAGGCCTATAAGATAGAACTGACCGAGGAACGAGTAAACACCGGTTACGATGCCGACAAAGAACGACAAGCCTTGCGTGCTCCATCCTCCACCATTCTCAAATTGTCCGAACACTTCTGACGCGCTGCCGTGGGGTGCCGTACACACCAGTGGTATTAAGACCCCGAAGAAACCGCCGACGTGGATGACGAGGATCAAGCCCTCGATCTTCGGGAGAAATGCCACCAGGAACGTGTTGAAGAACAAACTAACGAGAATTATAGCGTAGAACAGCAGCGTGCTCTGCCATCTCTGAGGCACGTAGGTTGGGTTGTTAAGCACGATAAGACCTTGGATCATGGTCCCTCCCAGATATGCGGAACTTGCGGTCGCCGACTGCCATCCTAGGCAAGTAAGCCAGCCTGAGAAAGGTCAGCCAGGCAAAACGTTATACCAGATCTTTGACTGCACTTGCCAGTTATATAACTCAAATATCTAGAGGCGCCAGGGGGCGCATACTCGGAGACCATCGAGTACTGTCCACCAGCGAGGGGAACTCTGCGATTCCCAGCATGAGCACGTCTTATGTTCCCGAAAACAAAACTCACGCAGATGCCATTTCCGCCAGGGAGCAGTTTAGGCCGATGGTACCAATCCAGCAAACGATGAAGCCATAGACAAGCCCTGCAGGCCCACCGTTGGAGAAACCAAAGATGAATACGCTGATGTGCTCGGTTAGTCAATCCGATTCTGAACGTGACTGGGGTTTCCCTCAAAGCCAAACCCACGAGAAAAGACCCTCCCACGTCGCCATCAATGTACATGTCAGGCCGACCATGGAAATGAAGCCAAAGTTTCGCTATTGTAGGACTTCAGCGCCAAAAGCCATGGCGACGGCGAACGTACCTTCAGCTGTCTTGATGATTTGGGAGTCAGCGTTACTCTTTCGGGAAGAATTCTGAGTCGCGAGACATGTCTTAGGAGCAGAGAACTCTTGAAACATGTCTGAAATTCATAAGACAGCATGACTGGGGTAGAGTTGCCTCGGAAAATATAACGTACTGCCGCTTCCCAAACACAGCCAGATCGTGCTCATCCCGATCGCCATTGGCTTCGGCTGTGGGAAAGCCATCGTGCAATCCTTCTTTGGCCGTGAAGGGCTCTCTGATATCCATGGTATTATGGCCTTCGTTCATGGCTATGGAGACGGATGGTAGTGGATGGTACGCGGGGCGAGGAAGAGATCGTACGAATACATAAGATAGGCTGTGAAGGCCGTATATAATGGAGGTTTTCATTTGACCTCAGCCTCGACGGTTGTTATCATAGATGGAAGAGCTAATATAAGCGTGCAATTAACAGGCCGCGCCGTGAGTAATGCATATTTAACCAGCCACTTGGAACGGTGTTTTCCGGTGGAGGCAGGATTCAGGATTCAGGATTCAGGATTCAGGAACCGCATCTTAGCTCAACAATTGAGACCCTGCATAGGTATGATCACAGTCTGCTAGCAATTGGGAAACGGCGATCCGTCGAGAATGACCAAATTTTGTGAATTAAATGGAATCTGAAACAAAATCAACACTTTGTATTGCATTTGTCTTGAATCTAGAAACATGTTCACATCCTACGATTTCGATGCTTTGATGCTTTTAATTTATATATACAGTAGGAGATCAGGTAAATACTTTCCCTCTGCGGGCAGCAAAAAAGCCCGTACACCCTAAGTTATACGACAGGGTCGCAACTAATCAGCCACGACAGTAACGAAAAAACTTTTGCGGTACAAAGGGTAGAACAAGAAATTCTAAAGAGTTCTCATACTCAAGTTATCAACTAAAATCCCTTCGTCGCGATGTTATCAAGACCTTCGTAATTTAGAGGTCTACGGGCTTTTTTGCTACCCGCGAGCTTCCGTACCTAAAATCGGGCCTAGGTACCTAGCTCAGGAGTACCCCTCTCTTTTTTGCTGTTGTCACACCTCTTCGATACTCCCTCTCTGTCAGTGTAAGTACGAATTCATATTCTTTAAGCGATCGAGTACGAAGGGAGAAGCCTATTCTTCGGGAGCTTTGGCAATCTGAACTTTGATTCCATTCAATAAAGATCATCAGGGGGTGTTTGTTTGAGTCTCTGGTAGTCTTTGGTACAATGGTCCAACCGCCACGAACAGCAGCGATTCAGCCATCGCGATACTTGCTTCAATGCCCGGATAAGTTGATGGTCCGATATGCCAGGCCAAGTGCCAAGCTACCATAATCATCGTTGCGAGCGTGTACACAACAAGCCCTGTGTTTATAGTCCAAAATATAGGCGAATCATAAGGGTCGTCCTCTTGAAGACCCGACGGGCCGCTGGAGACATCTAGCACTGGATGCGAATGACTGGATTATTCGCTGCTGGGTTTGTTGGCATGTTGGATGATTTCTGGATGATCGTCCGGCGGAACAAGTCGACGGCTGGAGCTGACACGGGCTATGTTATTGGGAGCATGGGATACGGAGACGAGTGGAATTGAGCTTTGATTTTTCTCGCTCTCGGTATGTTGGTGAAACAAAAGTAAACAATCTGTGTACAACAACAGAAGTTTTCTCCAGTACCGCGATAAGCCTCTGCAGCCGCCAGGACTGGCAATGCCAAGAGAAGGAGATCAGCCCGATGCCTTACCACGCGGGTGACAGAAAAACCTGCACACCTTGAAATTAGAAATCTGATGATGCTTTCACAACGAAGAACCCTAACAGAAAGTTTTTGCGTAGTAAATTGAAAATTTCGATAACACTATGATATCGTTCCGCAAAATCTAATTCATAAAGAGGGTATTCGTTGAATTATTCCAGCTGACAAGGTGAAGAGTTTTCTTGGTGTGTGCAGGCTTTTCTGTCACCCGCGTGCTTACATACACTCGAGCCCAGACTATTTGTCGAATGCCATATAAATTATTGAAGATTAGCTATAGGACTTCCCATGGAAATGAATCGATAACTCCACACCCTTTGCATGAAATAATGGGCGCATCTTCTGCGGTGGGCAGTCGGCCTCGAACCAATCAAAGCTGAGTTCTCAGACTAACTGCATTTGGGCGCTGTGTCAGCGATTTTGGCGAAAACAGACCCCCCCCCCTTGGAGGACGCATCAAGTTCTTGTACAATGCAACGAAGTTGGGGCGTATCCCGGCAGACTTAGCTTGCCTCTCTGGAATCCGCAATGAAGCCACATTGAGAACACGGGACCTTCTCCATTTTTCTCCATCTTCCTCCGATGCTTCGATATCAGGCAGCCTCCAGCTTCAGCTGCGGGGTCGGCCCATACCTCAAGGCGTATCCCGAGTGACCGTCAAACACTATCAGAGCCATGGGCATGACTTCTTGGATGAGAAGATTCGTTCGCAAGCCCCCAATGAAGCAGACGATGACAGATCACTCGAAAGCGCTCGTCATACGCGGAAGGGACAAGCAGTCGGAAGGGAGCCTATCTGCTGCCTTCCACGACCCCAAGCTTCAGCCATCCTACACCTTTTTCAAAGGCGCTTGGAAAGAGAATGGACATGCCTTCCCCACCACGGATCTGCGCTCAAACGATGTCAAGATCAAGCTCGTGACATGGAACATCGACTTCCAAGCCGTGGCCGGACCCAACGAATGGCTGCTGCACTACAGTATCTCAAACAGATCCTCATCAGTAGCTCCTCATCTGCGGACATGCCCACCGTGATCTTCTTCCAAGAAATGACTTCCTCAGACCTCGATCTCATTCAGGCGACGTCTTGGGTCCAGTCGCGCTTCCGCATCACCGACATCTCATCCACCAACTGGCTCTCTCGCTACGGCACCACCACGCTTATTGATCTCCGCTTGCCCATAGGATCCGTCTTCCGGACACGATATGCTAGCAAGATGGGTCGGGATGCGCTCTTCGTCGACCTCGATTGCAGTGACGGTACGCGCTGTACTAGGAATAGCAGGATCCGGTTGGGAAATACCCACCTCGAGAGTCTCGCAGCGGATCCACCTTTGCGGCCCGCTCAAGTGGCTCTCGCGACTCGGCTCCTGAATGATGATAGTGTGCACGGCGGGGTTTTGGCTGGGGATTTCAATGCTATCCAAGGTTTTGACCGGACGTTGCATGTGGAAAACGATTTAAAGGACGCGTATCTGGAGGCAGGCGGGATCGAGGGGGCCGAGAAGGAGGGAGGTGAAAAGGGTTGCGAGAAGGGGTGGACGTGGGGAATGCAGAGCCATGGGGGGCAGAGGGAGAGGTTTGGGTGTTCGAGGATGGATAAGATGCTGTTTTGTGGGGGCGTGAGGTTAGAGCAGTTGGAGAGGATCGGAGAAGGGGTTAAAGTGCCAGAGGGAGAGGTAGGAGAGGGGATTTTTGCGACGGATCATTTGGGGTTAGTGGCGGATCTTGTCATAGAGTATTAGCTCTACTGGAAGAGCAACCGTGGTCGATGCATAGAGGCTATACGCTTGAATCATCTTCCAACCGTGGGTTTTAGTCACATAAAATCAACCAAATCCCCCATCAGCGTCCTCTGATACTTCTCCACCACCTCCCTGCATCTCGTCAGCACGCCAGCCGCCAACATCCTAATCCTCTCCCCTTCCTCACTGCCTCCACCGATCTTCTCAAAGACATTATCCACCCATTCCTGTGTCTCCAGCAATTCTTTCGCGTGCTGTTCTGCCAGTCGTCGCTGGTCGTTCTCATTGATACCCAGCAACGTCAAGAAAGCAAAGAGGAGGGCTTCGAGCACGGAAGGATCGGTGGCCCGGGCCCGTAGGGAGAGGAGTAGATCCCAGAACTCGGCTGTCATTTGCGGGAGGGAGAGAGTGGAGGTGCCGGATGCGTGGAGGATCAGGGAGAGGGTTTTGAGGAGGTGGGACAGAAGGAAGGGAGAGGTGTGGGAGGAATTTTCGCCACTGGAGATCAAAAACATCGTCAGCTTCGTTTATGCCGGAGGCGAACATGAGCCCCGTGTCGGGAGATAAAACTCACTATGATTGAAGGTGTATTCGCCAGCGCCCAGTCAGAGGGAAGAAGAAGCCGTCGGCGACGACCTTGGCCAGTGCATTCGGGATGGGCTTTTCCCTCTTCTTCTCCACGGCCATTCGAGAGGAGAAGGTACGGACTTTGAGTGCATTGGGTCCGGAAAATTTGTCTGCTGCTGCAGCAGCCATGGGTTGGATCATGGTCTTCTCTAGTTGGCTTGATAGGGCGTCCATTGGTGCAGCTTCCGAGGCGTAAATTTTGTGGAGTTTGTCAGGTAATCGTTTCGAAGGGAAAGAGCTCTCTGTTGTGGCGTTGGAGCCTGTCAAGAGAGCGTCCTCCTTGCCCAGACCAGCTAATTCTCGAGCGCCCAAACCAAGGACTGTGAGTACCGACGCTCGTTGTCCCATAGAGTAGTCGCCGTTGTAGAAGGTTCTGGAGAACCATTGGCCCATCTTCAAGGGTTCGGCGGTCAGAACGGCTATCATGCCTTGAAGGCGCATCTGCTGGAAGTTCTCCATCTCCCATTTGTCACCGAGACCAACGAGAATTGACGCTAGCTCCTCGATATTGTCAGAGGCTTCAGTACCAAAGGCAGCCTTACGACGGATGAGATCGGAGGAGGTAGACAGCGCCAATTGGTGCCGGTCGAAGTTCTCGTCATCGCGGAGGCCTGCAATGAGGTCGCGGATATACCTGAGGATTTTGAGTCAGAAAGACAGACTCATGCGATACGACTTTGCAAATGCTACTCACACTGGAGCCGTAGGTCGGTCTCGCCGTACAAGGGTCGGATCTTCATCTTCATCCTCGGGATCAGAGTCCGGCTTCTGATACATCGGTAGGTCTTCTGCTTCCGATTCGGAACTACCGTCTATTTCTTCGATCGAGATGACTTTGGAGGTCGATTGGGCTGGTTTCTTCGGTCTTGGTGATTTTCTGCTATTGACCGACTCTAATAGCTGAGTAGATGACTTGGTTGACGGTGTGGATGCAGGCTTCAGATCCTTGATTGAGCCAACAGAATCTTTGACACTGGTTAGGCTTCTGTACCACTGCCCATCGGAGCCATCCATTTCATCCGCAGTGAATGTCATTCGTTTGTCCTTCGGATCGACAAGCTCGGAGAAGGCAGTGCCAACCACCATCCCCAAGAACCGGGCTCGTTGCGATGAAGCGGCAAGACGATTTGAAACAGCATTGAGGTAAATACTGGAACGAGACAGATGCATCAGGTATGTCTTGTCTGCCCGGAATCCGTAACCAGCAAGTAAAAGCAAGACTTGAGCGTTCACTGTCTTCGTTCAGTGACAGAAAAATAGAGAAATCTGAATTTTGGGGGCCTAACCTTCTTGGTGCAATGTAGGAGTATGCTTGATGTAAAGCTTGTCACCAAATAGAGCCAGACCTCTTTGCAGTGCTTTGGTGACTTGTTCTGGAAGACGACTTAGGATTCTAAACGTTGTAGAGCGAGTCCGAGTACTCACCGGGGATGGAAGATAATGCTGCTGTCACGGCTCTGTGTGCATTGTGCACTTGGCCGACGGCATCAGCAGACACCCCTACTAGCCACTCGACTAGGTCATCCTGCAGAGTCGAAACATCTCCGACGATCGCTCTTACGAGTGCTGCAACTCCTCCTATTGCTTTGCTCTGGCCCTCACGCCTCGAACCTTGGGATGGGCCTTCCGTGGGCAGATGTTGTTTTGAGAGAATTCGTATGATGGAGTATAACAAAGTCTTCTGATCATGCGCGGAAAGTCTTGTCATGAGAACCTTAGATTTTCGCAATGAGCGATAGTCACCACTCAGCAGATCCAAGAATCCGGCCTGAACAAGTTGATCTATTCCGAAAGAATCAGCCAGGACGATCCGTAGTGGCAGTCGTTACGCTAACCTGTATATCCTAGAGTCATGCCTTTGCTCAGCAGCTGCGACAGCGCTTTCTGGCCCTCAACGTCATCGTCTTTCTCCGCTTTGACCGCGTGTTGGATACACCTTCCAAGCCATGCGGCATACTGACTGCCATATCCTACCCAGCTACCCGCTCTAATACTCAGGCTCAAGTCGCTCAATGTAAGATTGGCTTCACTAGCAACAGACAGGACTTTGCCCGAAGCCACCAACGAGGCAAATTCTTTCCATTGTAGAAACTTTTGAGATGATGGCAAATTGAAGCCTTCGATATCATGCCATATGGCTGTAATGAAATCCTCCTTGGCCATGACTGTTTCAAGAACACTTAATAGAATTTCTACAGGCTGGGTCTTGCTGACAACGGGCACCTGAGCGGGCTTTTGATTATCTTTTAGCAAACTAAGTAGGAGACGAAGCCGGGAGGTGATGGCGCCAACGCCAGCAATACTGCTCAGGCATTGGGCCAGTAGATTCTTTTCTTGGCCGCTTTCAACGCTCAAGGTCTCCCAATAATCAGGGACAATGTCGTTGATTAAAGTAAAGATTATCTGGGCAGCCTTGGGACCGGGCTTCTTGATGTCGAACTCATCGTTGTGGGGTACTGTTCTATTGAGCCAACGAAGAGCTCTGCTAAGAGTCGCATGGTCAGGCTTTGATCTTAGAGCCTCCAATGCATCTTCCGGACTATTTATGGAAAAGACCGGTCTCTTCGTTTGCAGTGATTCAACGGGCAAAAGCTGGGCTTCTGCACGTACTTCGACCCTTGGGCTTGTATGCAAGGAGGTGAGAAGGTCAGGCATTGTGCTGCCTCCACATGATCCATAGGATGGTGTAAAGGGGTGTTGCATAGAGTAAAGCCTGGCTTGGCCACAACTTTCCTATGATTGGTTGATCTTGCTGACTAATCTTGCTTTGCCACAATCCTCGGACCAACTTTCGAGACGTGGAGGACGTGATACTGTTGTACGTCCAACATTTGCAGGATTTTCAGGACTCAGATAGGTTTTGAGGACTTTGCTAGCTCCAGGTGCTCGAGACACTCCTTATGTAAGGCCTACTCATCCAATTGCGCTCTACAATGCCTCGATATTCATGATTGAAAGAGGTCTTCTTCCGATAAAACTGACAGCGGGTACCCGTATCTCTGGAGCTTTCCGCATTCAATCACGGAAATGGCAGTTGTGCGTTATTTACTATGATGGCCCACTTTCGTTTGATCTGATCTGATGAGCAATGGCTGTGGGATTCGGCTTTTCTATGAGCGACCTGTTCGCGGCCCTCAAGATCGTCAAAGACTCGTTTGAGGCCGTCAATGAAAAGAAAGGCGCGGCGGCAGACTATGCAAATCTCGTCTCGGAAATTGACAGTCTGTGGGATGGCTTGGAAGCAGTGGAAGACATTCAGTCGGACCCAGATCTATCAGAGAAGCAGATTGCTGCTATAAAGAGGGCGGTCGATGCATGTTACGACTGCGTGGAATCGTTTCTGGAATCCGTCTCTGATTATCAGCCGCATCTCGGCTCCAATTCGTCTGGCTTTGCATCTAATTACCGTAAGATCAAGTGGGCGTTGTGCAAGAAAGATGATGTTGCCAAGTTTAGAGGGCGGTTGGGAAGGCACATCTCCTCAATCAACATGTTGCTCATCACGTTCCAAGCCAAGCAGAGTCTGAACGCCAAGACATCTAGGAGTAACACCGTGGTCAAAGCCTTGCAGAGCGAAGAGAACAGCACCAAGGGGATGATGAAAGGGTTATCCATTGAGCAACGCCAATTCTTCATGATCATGGTCCAGCAAAACAAGCAGTTGATGCAGAGCATTGAAGACATGAGAAATATGTTGCAGCTGCAAGCCGAGGTTCCGCCACAAGTGATGCTTCAACAACCAGTCATTTTCCTCGACCCATTTGGCAAGACGGCACCTTTCCACCTGGAATTTGTCGATTCGTCAGAATGCTTCATGGCTGTACTCAAAGCACGTTTCAGCAATGCTGGAGTAACACCTGCTGGACTTTCAAAATTGGACAATCATGACTTCTTGATCCAGGACAGCCCCCGGCGGCGGCCAATTGACTTGAAGAAGAACTGGGCTTCAGTCTTCAGACCTGGGCAAAACGTAGATATGAGCATGATCTTCCATCGTTTTGCTTGCCCTCCGAGCACCTGCCCCGTCTGTTTAGAGACCAATGAGGACGATCACGAGCAGGTACATTGCCGTGCGTGTGGTCTATGCTATCAGAATGTCCAAGCCATTAGCAGAAGATCTAGAGAATGGGATCCGAATCTTCCCACCGAGGTCAGTGTGAGTGGTGACGATATCCCATATTTACAACGTCGGCGAGGCCGGGAACCCGAAATGAAGGTCTTTCGACCGACGCAAGAAGCCGAAGACGAGCTCTTTGATGGATATCGAAGGGTTCAACTCGTCTCACAGTCATTGGATCTGCTAGATGGGAAATTCCCAGCGCTACAGCTGATAGAAGACTTTGCTCGCTTTGCGGAACTCCTCAAAGGTGTGCCAGACGACACGTCAGCGTTTGAGCCAGAAATCCGCAATCTCCGTGCTCGCGCTGTTCAGCATCTACTACAACAACGTAGCAGCTTTCCTGCATTCGCATCCTTTTCGCAAATTGCGCAAGTGCGTAGACGCCTGGGTCAAGAGTCTCTCGATTTGCGCAAAGATATTGACAAGTTGGTATACAATTTGTACAACGACAGCGACACTAAGGAGCTGATGAAATACGTTCAAAAGAGTATATCACCCTTTCTCGTTCTTCTATCCCCATTGACGCCGCTGACTTTGTTTCTTTTCCAGCATATCCGTCCGATAACGGAAAGGATTACTACACAAGCGTATTGTCCCGGATAGCGAGTCTTTCGGACTTCACGAAATCCAGTAAGCCAAGCGTTCGATCCACAGAGCGCATGGAGTGGCTGCTCCTAGATGGCAGATCCAAGTGAGGGAGCATAGCCTTGCTCTGCAGAAAGGGTTCGTACCGCAACATCGGCACAAGTCCTGGAACGACACGTGTAAATCTAGCAGATCGAGGGTTGGAAACACTTCCCTCAAGAGAAATTATTGCGTAAAGTGCCCTTTTTGCATATCGATTGAGTTCGGCCGCCCACGGCCCTCCAGCTTGGCGAACGGAATCCGTCATGTTCCAGCGACATATCGAGGCCAGCCGACATCGGCGAGTGGAGACCCCACGTGTGTGCTAAGACTGCACTCTGGGACCGTTGGCGTGACTGGCCTTGCCAGACTAATCAGGTCGCAGCGTTGCAAATTTGTTTTCCGGGTTGATTTGCAGGCAACAATATAAATCATTCTAAGAACAATTCTTCTACATACGGCCACAGACTGTTGAGAACTCGGCTTCCCGTCCGCTCAGCCAAAGATAAGCCTCAGATCGGCTAATTAGTAGTTGGGTCGGTGACGACCAGCGAATACTAGCTGCTGTATGTTTTTGCTCTTTTGCTTTTTTCTTTTTGGTGGCGAGAGACGATGCTACCTACGGTCGAGACTCGACACAATGTGGAGCCAAACCTTCTCCACCAAAAAGCCTTGCCGAACGTCTTGCCGAACGTCTTGCCTTGCACCACTACCCACCGTGAGCCAACTATAGACATATCCAGGACTGCATAAGAGTAGCAGTCAGCATGGAGCTCTGAGTCCAGGCTCTGACGACATGCTTGCTTGGCGACTGATCAGATGCAGAATAAGGACACTCCGAGGATGACAACAGGCAAGGCAGACAATACCTTCCTGGAGAGCTCAAAGATCTTCGATGTCTCCCATGTCACTGCCGTTGTCACTGGCGGTAACAATGGCATGGACCTTATGATGACCCAATTACATAATAACAAAGCTCCTTCTGTCTGACCTCCTCCTCCTGTGCTCTGCTCGCCAACGGCGCCAAAGTTCACATCATTGACCGCCGAGATTCAGCTCTCAGAAGTGTTGTCAACGTCTATGATACGGAACCCGATCAAATCAGACCGCAAGTAATGTTCCATCCGTTTTCCAAACGCTATCCAGCCTTTTACGACAAATCCATTCAGTGGCCTCACCACCGACATCAGCCAGAAAGTCTTCGTCCTGCAGTTCGCCGCCTGAGAACCCAATAGCGTCCAAATTCTCGTCATATACACCGAAGTCACCGTGACAATGCCACTCATTCTGACCGAGCCGGCGAACCCGACCCAGCGACCCTCAGTGCATCTCCATGCACTATGTGAAACCCGAATCTGAGCATTGGGCCGAGGCACTCCAGACCAATTGCATGTCTTCCTCCACTTCCTTGCCAAAGGCCACGGCGTCATCCTAGGCTATAGATCCACCCTCGAATCAACGCATGCTGCAACTCTGCGTTGCTCAAACATAGCCCCCACAGCCATATCTCCTATGCCGCGTCGAAAGTCGCTTTCTTGCATCTGAACCCCATGCTTCCCACGACCTTTGCGCAGACCGGGGTTCGCGTCAACGTGTTGGCGCCGGGCACATTCCCAACTGAAATGGCGGCAGGTGCTTCTCGAGCCGATCAGAAGTCTAAGCTGCAACAGATGGCTATGCCCAGTGTGACCGGCCGTCCTGGACGTCAGACCGATATGGCTGCACCGACACTTGTGCTTGCGTGACGGGGTGGGCAGTTCCATTACAAGCAGATATTGTACCCGGATGGAGCTGAGCTTCTGCCGCCACTCCATCGCCGCATGCAATCGTGCGACACAGGCTAATCCTGATCAGGCGAGACGCTGAGCCAGTCTACCACGATGTGGTATCAAATCAGGCCATTCAGCTAGGGCAGTCAATCCGCCGAAAGCGAGTTGTATTATGTGTTCGGGATGGGTTGAATTGCATTAAAAATACTGCTTTGCCATTCTTTCTTAGACTGGTAACACTCCAAGCCCCAAACGTCTACGAGGATAAACGATATGATTCCCCGATCGGAATGAATGGAGACTTTTGAGAGACGGATCGATGGTATGCAAGATGTCACCGAGATTCGAAAAGAGGGCAGAATCAAGTTGGATGGATACATCTGGAGTGACGGTTCCATTTGCCACTACTGGAGGTCTCCGACCCCTCTGTTGCGTACCAACAGGTTGTCAAAATCGAAGTTTGATTCAGCTGTTACTCAGACTACTTCGAGGAAGGGCTTGTACGTTTGTTTGTTTGACCTAGTGACTACGCGAGGACAAAAGAAACTCCCATCACTATGCGGCATGGACCTGGGGTGGGACGATAGCTTTATATGTGCGTGGGAGGGTGTGAAGATAGTGCTATGGTTCTGAAAGAGAAGAAGCCGAATGAAGAGCCAGACGCTGGTGTAGGACGAGTGTATGTAGGGCTTCCAGCTGGGAAATTTCTCCACTTGCGGCTATGTTCTATCACGTTCCATGGCCGCATTCGATCGTCGTTCATTGGCTACCGGACTCGGCTGTTAGACCCACTAACCCACGATCCCACTGCGGCGAGGTTTGCACTTGGATCTGTCCATTGTGCAACCATATACATGAACTTCCATCCAATGCCATTTACCATCGGTGAGCGATTCTGCTGTTCCAAAGGACATGCGAGGCACATACTTTGCTTTCCGAGCTCTGTATTGCAATCATACATGTAGACGCTCGAATTTCACCATAAGTCGATCATCAAGCGAGCCAGGCGGATGGCGCCCGAAACTGCCGTCATTGACCGTGACGGTCTTGAAGTTAGAGTAGACGACCGCGATGACATATCTCATCACTTGTAAAAGAGCATCAGTGTATTCGATCTGTCATCAACACGAGGTGGGACATGGAGAAGATCCTTACTGTACTGCGTGAGATGACTCCCCACGCACATCCTCGGCCCGCTCCCAAACACCCACAGCACGCCTTTATTGTCAAGACCCTTTCCCTCGCCCTGTAGCCACCTTTCGGGTATCCACTTATCTGGTTGGTCCCACTGTCTTGGATCTCGATGCACAAGCCAAGGGAATGAGTTGACACGTGTGCCTGGTGGGATATTATCGATGCCGGCGAGGCTGACGGCGTGATCGTGAGGCGTGATGCGAGGCAAGGGCCTACTGTTCGGACGCATGCGGAAAGATTCATTTAGGACAGCAGTGAGGTAGGGGAGACTGTCGAGGGAGGCAGGCGATGGTAGCGTCGGGTTCGGCTCGCTATCCGTGATAGTGATGGATAGGCCCGCTGATGCGAGTTCGCTCCGGAGGCGGTTTTGTGCCTGCTGGTTCTGCGAGATGTAGTATAGCGTGTAGCTCAGGACGAGTCCGAGGACCTCTCGCGCAGCAGCTGCAGGGAGGCACAAGTCAGTCACAAGCGATTGCTGCTTTGGGGGAAAGGAATAATACACGTACACATATGATCAAAAAGCTCGCTGGCGATTTCCGATTTCTTGGTCTGCGTGTCGGCTCCTTTCAAATCTGCCCATACCGATTTCTGGACTTGTTGGTAGACAACTGGGATGTCCGCTGGATCTTTGAGCAATCCCTGGTCCGCAAGCAAACGAGCTTCGTCGGCCTTGTCACATAAGCCCATCATCCATTGCTCCAAGTAGTGTTTGGATGGAAGATGCCCCTTAGGCAAGATGTTGATGCCCAACGTGTTCATCCATTTGGTAGTCTTCGGCAGCTCCTGAGGCCAAAAAGCTTCTTTACAATGCCGTCGCTCATAGTGTTCTAGCCAGAGCTGCGTGCCGCTTTCACTTTGGAGAAAGTTCGATCCGCTGGAATATCCGAATAAGAAGGCATTGACGTAGTCCAGACATAGAGAACAACTCAACCCAAGGAGTTCAGTTGGCTGGGGTCTTGAAGCTTGCTCATGCAGTCTGGGTATTAGGCGTCCGAGGAGAACATGTTCTGTCAAAGAGGCTAATTGTGCAGAGCCGAAAAGCGCAGATTTGGTGTAGACCACGGAGATTCTCCGTCTGTGAATCGAATGATCTTTTCTTGCAAGACTGCAGAAAGAGTTGGGTCTCCTGTAACCATAGTCAGCCTCTTCTGTGATATCGTAGCTCGTTGGCAAGGTCCAGACTCGTAGCAGTTGAAGAAGTTAAAATAAGTTGGCTTATCAAAACCGCCTCCATATATTGTTCGAATGCCATCTTCATAACAACTGACGCCGAGGTCCTTGGGTCCGAGTCTCACGATCAGTCCCAAACTTTGATGAGCTTTCAATGCAGCGGTCAGCTCTTCCTGTCGGTACCGTTTCCACAGTATCCACCAAGGAACGAAAGGAGACGTCCAGTGGGCGTTAGGTATCTTGGCCAATGGGCAAATCAGGAGAGGATGTACGACGATATGGTATAAAAGAAAGCTACAAAGAATAATGAGGGTAGCTGGGGCAGCATAGCCCACGGAATCGGCAGACATGATGATGAAAGAGACCGTGACTGTTGCTTTCAACAACAACAATAACAACAGTAGTCCATACTTCTTTTTACCAAATCGTCTTGAGGCTGATGGTCAGATATATGGGCGAGACCCAATACTAGGCCGCTTGGCCAAAGCGCTGCTGCTTTGCAAAGCTAGATGGCATTTTGCTGATCTAGAAGCACCATGTACCCCGCATATTCCACTATACGCGAGAACTCCCCCGTTTGTTGCACGCCTTCTTGTTGGTCGTTTGTACCTAGTGTGCCCAAGGCATGGAGAGGAGTCTTTGGCCCGAATTTGGCAAAACCATGGTGACAATCGTTGGTATGATGATGTACCCAAGGAAAGATTTGTATCGGCCCGTTGGTGGCCATACCTCAAACATCTTGGGCGGATGGACAGCGAAGGCAGGGAGTGAAGTAGCGACGCATTTTGGGGAAATTTTGCAGGTACAGTGGTTTCAGCGAAGTGTAATGGTGACCGACATGCGTTTGTAACATAACTTTTCGCTACTTTAAACGGTCGGTTAGTGGTTTTCGTAATAGTACTAGTAGTCAATCAGCAGTCTGTATTTTTCAGCCAATCTCATGACAAGCCTTTGCTTTCCAGACAAGAAATTCATGAATCATGATCAATCCCTAATTATACAGGGTATTGCATCAACGACGTCCCGACGAAGGCTCTTGACTCGTGTCAAGGCTTTAGAGATGCTCGTATCTATCTAAGAGATCTGGTCAAACCTCAAGACCTGCCGAGGCTCCGACGCTAGCAGGAACTGCGATAGGTACAGGTAAGGTACAAATACTAAGGCATTAACATATCTGGGAGCTGATGTGGATGTTACGCTCGGACTCTGGATTCGAAAATTACAACTCATTTGTTAGCAGCAGATCTAAAGTCATTCTATCAATTTGAAAGTATTTTAGGATGCCCTGAGACTATGATCTTGTTTCACTCCGTACCTAGTTATAGATACTCTAAGGTACCTTAGGTATGCGGTGTCAAAACTGGTTCGACACATTCGGCTCCAAGAACCCTGCCAAGACTCAACTAGTGAGAAACCCTAAAAACCCCTCTACGGACCCTAAAGTAAGGTACGGTAATCGTGGCCCCACTAGACAGTGGTGAAGTGGAGTGCTGTTGTGTCAATCCTCGTCGTCGCTACCGTCTCCAAAACGGAACGCATCGCGCCTTCCTGCAGATGGCGTAGACTCCCGTAGCGCCTGGGGCTGGTAGCCTGGTATACATCCCATTGGCCGCTGTGGCAGATTCGCTTTCTTCGCGTTCGCCTTGTTCTGTGTACCCCTCTTCGAGTGCAACGTCGGTGACGTGGTCTGGAATCCTTGGACTTCCTCCGCCCATCTTCCCTGTGTCTCTATCACCGGGTTATTTGGTTTGGATATGGTCAGAAATGCAAAATACACACCTCGGCCGAAGAGGAGATTCGAAATGGCTACTCACGAGTGGAGTGCTTCCGCGGCGAGGTAGTCGAATAAGTTATCTGAATAGTGGTTGGTATCGGATTTGAGATATCGGGATTTGGAGACATGGCTAGGAAGGGTGAAATTCACATTGCTGTTTGGGCAAGGAGAATAAGGCCGCACGCTGCATGCTTCCAGGCCTCCTTTCTGTCATTGGCATTGATGCTGAGGGTCTTGCACGCAACTTTGCTGAATCCGGTAAGGGACTGGCTGCGCTGCTCGTTGCAAATGACGAGCTTGCCAAGCCCCCAAACATAGCCGTGACGGATGGCCAAGACATGAATCAGGCAAATTGTAAAGCATGAGAGACAACATTTGCAGGCATCGTTTACCGGTGTGTTGTGCCAGCCGTCCAGTACGCTGCGGCCATGTTTGCAGCAGACACCTGGCAGTACTTCGGTCATCATTTGCCGCACACCGACAAATGGGTCTACAGTAGATCTTCCATCCTGATCTCAGAGCACAACTGCTGACCAGAATTGCATCGTAGAAAATATCCATTCCATACATCACCGTCTTTACCTCTCTTACTCATATGGCGCAGCCTTCATGCATCCCTCGAGGGCCGATTCCTGGACAGCATTGGAACAACCATCGCCTTTGGCGTCGAAGAGTAAGAACGAAGTTCTTGGGAGGGGTCCGGGAGGCACGATCGATGGGACATTACCATCATAAACAGGGAGGTGGAGATTCAGTAGACTACTTTGGACCATTTGCAGAGGAGTCGAAGACGTAAATGAAACTACGCGAGGGGTGCCTTGGTTAGTTCGCTAAGCGACCCAGGAACATTGGGTGCCTCCTTGGGCGGCATCTTCGCGAAGATGGTGTATAACCACCGTCTATGGGAGGTTTGCAATGTCACGCATCCTGCTGTGTGCGGTACCCGCGATACAAGATTGGCAGCAGCTTTCCAGCCCCCAAGCTTCATGCATCAAATTCGCCATGACTTCCCTTTTCGCCAATCTGCTAAGATGATCGTTTTGACGGGAAGTTGAGATGTGACAAAACAGGACATAAGAAACGAACAAGAAACAAGAAAGAAGGTTGACTACAAGTATCTGGCGTGCTTGAACGAAAAATATGATCAAGCGGAAAGTCTGTATTACACTCCTCGGAATACACTACCGGACGGCTACAATCATAATGCGCTTCTACTCCCTCTTCCTTGTCTCCCCCTACCCCTTACAATGGCCCTCCAAACAATCTATCTCGGCTTCTACGAGCATGACCCAGAGTCTGTCTTCCGCAGTGTGTTATCGCCCCTCTCATTTACTCACAATCAATCCGCTTTCGTACTCCCAAAACGAGTCTCCAATAGCTCAATCCCTGACCTCACAGGAGACGCAATACTAATCTATAGGTACTGCACTAGGAACTCATTCATCGCGTTCTTCTCCAACAGCGACGCTTGCAACGACGGCACGATCTTCGGCGTCGTCCCAAATGGTTTCACCGAATGCAATCAAAATCTCACCATCTTAGGCCACCCAAACAACACATTCACGGGCTGCAAGCCCCAGACGATCAATGCTATTCATCGTCGCTGCCAATGGGTGTGAGTGATGATGGTGTGCCAGCACTAGAATGTGCTGCCGCTGAGAACCCACCGAGTAATCCCTCTCCCATCACATCTGGATGTATTCAGGATGGTAGGGGCGCGTATGTAGGTGTTCTTGAGTATTGCTCCTAGGGCTGAGGGGGTGGAGAGATGGATTGAGGTGCGTGAAAGGAGGTTTGAAGAGGTTAAAGGGGGGTGAGGACTGCTTTTTGTTCATGGTAATAAGCGTGCATTCTCTGATAACGAGATGACTCGAGAAATGAACGCTTGTGTGCTTTCTGCTTGGAAAATAATGAGATCGGGGCGTTACATGACCTACTCGTCCGTCTACCACAACAATGCAAGGAGGAGACGATTTGACTGCAAAACAGCTCATACAAGAGCAACAAAACCAGAAAGAGTTCTTAATCAAAATTCACCTTAAACCCTCCGTAACCCAATAAAAAGCTCCTAACGTTAAGTGTACTATGACTTTGATACTTTGGTGTGTGACTGACGCGAACTCGCAGTCAGGCTTAGCAGATTGAAGTTGCACAAGCAGCTTATAATTTTCGTTGATTAAGTATTTTGTTCATTAAGTAAGGTAGAAATGAATTAAGAACAGGCGTCAAGCTTCAACGTTGGCTGGCTCGTGATCAATACGCATCGCTCGAAAAGAAGGCTTCGCTTTCTGTGATTGGGCAGATCCAAAGACAATTTTACGCTCTCACAGCGCCATCAAAGACTACACATCATCTTTTCAAAGAGAGCTAGCCTCAATGATTAGTTGATTGATGATCGTACTTTGTTACAGTAAAGGATTTTCTATTGGTGTCTGCGAGATTCCCCCAAACGCCATTCCCAGTGGCGTTCCTGAGCTCGACGGTCAGGCGGCCCCCTTTTATAAGGCCGCCGTCGCTACTGATAGGGTTTTCGTGCTTTCGTCATTGTATAACGTGTATACCGCTGTAGTCAGGGGGAACAGGGTATTTTGAAGGCTTCATCCTATCTGGATCCGTGTTATTTAAATTACTGTAGGCTGGGTCGCTGTGGAGCACGGTACCCCGGAGATGCTTCGGCCCGCCCGCAGCGCCTCCCTAGAACGGGTACAGTCCGCTTTGACACCCCTAAGGTACCTTAGCCAGAATCGCCATCCCATTGATCTCAGCTTCAGCCAAGACATACTTTTTAAAATCGAGCATGGGAGAATCAATTGATGGAGAATATGCCGCTATGGATGATAAAGATCGTCCCGATTACATGAATGAGCGTGTGTTTCATCGGAACCGTCTGCCACCGCGGGCATACTTCCTACCTGCTGAGCACTTGTCTCTGTCTGGAAAGTGGAGATTTCACTATGCTTCGAGCCCATTGGAGCCAGAGCCGGTGGATGATAGCGCTTGGGACCTGATTGACGTTCCAGGTAAGCTGGTCTTGAGGCTCTTTAAGAGCTCTTTCGAGGGGCAAGCTCTCTTCCAATTGATCACTTGCGAGGTCAAAGCCTGGAAATAGTTATTGTCCTCAGCACTGCAGAGAGAACATGCTATCCAGAAACAGCTGAACCAGAGTTTCTATCTCATCATGCCTGCTAATGACCTGGTCTGAGCATTATCATTGTGTACAAAAGAAGCAATGAGCATTCTTATACAGCGACGTCTTCTATCATTTCGCCTTGATTCTACGGAGATCTAGTCTGAAATCTTCTAGGTCATTGGCAGCTCCAAGGCTATGGTCATCCACACTACACGAATATCAATTACCCATTTCCCACGAACCCGCCATTTGTTCCGTCTGAGAACCCAACAGGCCTGTACGAGACTGATTTCTCCGTCCCGAATTGTTGGCAAAATGATGTTTTTTTGTACCGTCTTAGGTTCGAGGGTGTGGACAGTGCCTACCATCTCTGGGTCAACGGCAAAATGATTGGATACAGTCAGGGTAGTCGAAATGCTGCAGAATTTGACATAAGCAACGTGGTAAGAAAAGACGAGGTTAACACTCTTAGAGTCAAGACGTATCAATGGTGTGATGGCAGCTATATTGAAGATCAAGACATGTGGGTATGTAAATCTCGGAGTTATTTGCTCCTAGCTGGCACACAATCCGAGTCATGAGACATGTTTTGGAAGTCGCAGAAGGGGATAACCTCCATGTTTTGCTCCTTAAACTTGTCTTGAGAGTCGAATTTATGTCTCGAGAACGACATGCTGACTCCAGTGTTGTCATCAGTGGTTGTCTGGTTAGTAGCTCTTGACTCATCTCTCGTGCGATCTGGCTCAACCTTATAGGAATATTTCGGGACGTCACCCTCTTTGCCATCCCAATCAAGGGTCACATTGAGGACTTTTTTGTTCAAACCAAATTGGATAAGCAATACCAGGATGCTTTCCTGCAGGTCAAGCTCCAGATCCAGCTCAGCTCTGCGGCGGAAGCTCTCCTGGAGTTGACCGATGCAAATGGGAAAGAAGCCTGTCAGCCTGAGATATATGGTCTAAATTCAGGGGAAACAGAGCACGTTTGCAGTATGGCGAAACTTTCGAATCCACTAAAATGGACGGCTGAGCACCCGAATTTGTACCACATGCGTATCACCTTGACCGCAAAAGGGCAGACTTTGCAGGTCATCGATCAACCAGTCGGGTTTAGAACTGTTGAGTTGAAGGACGGTTTGATTCAAGTCAATGGTCGGCCCATCCACCTTCGAGGCGTCAACCGCCACGTGAGTTATGTTTTCCTAGCCTTTTCTTCCTCATTCGTATTGCATTTTGAGTTGCAAGACATGTCGCCGGAGTTAAACACTCCCGGAACATGTCTCACGACTCGGGTTTAATTCTAGAAGAGTTCTGCTAACTGCGAAATCATATAGGACCACCACCCTCGATATGGGCGCGCCGTACCAATTGACTTCATAAAGCAGGACCTGGTATTGATGAAACAGCACAATATCAACGCTGTTCGCTGTTCACACTACCCCAATCATCCAGCGCTCGTATCGTTTGCAAACGAGATTGGGCTTTACGTGATGGACGAAGCAGATCTGGAATGCCATGGTATGGGCGTCGATCTCGAGCATCTTCCATCAGACGATCCTGCTTGGAAAGGGACCTATCTAGATCGTATGCAGCAAGTCGTCCATCGAGACAAGAACAACGCTAGTGTCATCATGTGGAGCCTGGGCAACGAGTCGTTCTTCGGCCAGAATCATGTTGCTATGTATAAGTGGGCGAAAGAGTACGATCCTACGAGACTGGTTCATTACGAAGGTGATCATGAGTATAGAGCCTCTGATGTCTGCAGTTCGATGTACAACTCAATCTCAGATCTCGCCAACCTAGCCACCCGCGATGGAGACAAATACGACAAGCCGATAATACTCCAGGAGTATGGTCATGCTATGGGAAATGGTCCGGGAGCATTGAAGGAATACCAGGAGACGTTCTACAAACATCGACGACTTCAAGGGGGTTTCATCTGGGAATGGGCTAATCATGGACTCTTGAAAAAGCTTGACGATGGCAGTGGCAGGTCTTTCTACGCCTATGGTGGTGACTTTGGAGATGAGCCAAACGATGGGAACTTCGTTATGGATGGGCTGTGCACCTCTGAACATGCGCCCGGACCTGGTCTGATTGAGTTGAAAAAGGTCTATCAGCCCGTCAGTTTTCACAGAGAAGGGAATAACGTCCTTGTGAAAAACCGACATGACTTCGCGTCGTTGGGAGACTTACTTTATGCATATGAAGTCACCCGCTTCTCGGGAGAGGACGAACACAATCTCGCATCGTCTGTAGGACAGATTCCGGGAGATCGAAGCGGGCCTGGCTCCACATTCCCGATTGAATTTGCTGGCCAGAGTGGGTTTATGAGATGCGATACCAGCCAACCAGAGACTTGGCTTAGGATCAAATTCATGACCAGACAGAAGCTACCATGGGCCGGTATGAACCATGAGATTGCATGGGCTGAGTTTCGTCTTGATGGAGGCGAGGGCAAGATAAGCTCGCAACCAGCCCTTGCCAAAAATGTGCAGGCGGCGAAGCTTCAAGAATCCCACAGCCTGCTGCAAATCTCCGGTCCCAGATTTGCAATGACTTTCGATACCATTCTGGCCAGGGTTACTGGATGGAGCTACAAAGGCATAGACCTGATCCTCGAAGGTGCGGGTCCTCAATGTACTTTCTGGCGTGCACCCACGGATAATGATAAGCCGTTCGCTGCCAAGATCTGGCGAGAACATGGCTTGCATATGATGACGCAGCAAGTTCGCTCAGTCAAACATCAGCATTGTGAGTATACAGGCTCTTTTAAGATCATCGTGGAGAGTTGGATAGCGCCGCCTGTCCTCGCCTGGGGGTTCGAAACGACTACGACATACACGATACCCAGCGAGGGCCGTTTGGTGATCCATGTTCACGCAGTTCCCAAAGGCACAAACCAACCAAAGATCTTGCCTAGAGTAGGGGTTGAGATGATACTGCCGGAAGATCGCAATGTTGCTCAGTGGTTTGGGTTGGGCCCAGGTCAAAGCTACAGAGATATGAAGGACGCCGGTAAGATCGGCATATGGAAATGTGGTGTAGACGATGTGATGTTCAATTATGAAATGCCGCAGGAGAATGGTAATAGAACGGAGACAAGATGGGTGAAAGTCACCAATGAGAAAGGCATTGGGATCAAGACGACTTTGCAACGGGGAAAAAGGGAAGAGAATGACACATTCGTGGAGGCAATGACCCTCGACAACGGTTCGGCCGAGCAACCCTCGTCGCCATTTGATGACTGGGAGATCGTGTCTCGACCCCATCAAAGGTCGGAAAACCGGACCCGCTTTGACTTCGCTCTATCCAAATACACCGCAGTAGACTTGGATCAGGCCCAACATCCACATGAGTTGGAAGGGAGTAAAGGCGTTGTTCTTCGTATTGATGATGATCACCATGGTCTAGGGAGTGCTTCGTGTGGGCCGGATACCCTCGAAGAGTACCAGTTGAAAATGAGGACATTTGATTTTACCGTCACCATGGAGGCGACTGGGATATAAAGCTGCAATTTCAAGGGTTCGAGACCCCGAGACCCAGGTTTTGTGCCAGGTTGCATTTTTCTTGAGCTCTCAAAGCAGTACCCTTTAGGCTTATTCTCTGGGGATTGCACCTTTATGGACGGATCAAACCCAAAGCAACTGGTGTTCCATGATCTCTGAAACGTCACTGCCAATGGTAAATGAAATGGCACATGGCATTGATTGTTGACAGGTATCTCCAACTATTCGCCTCATCTGCATTGAGATCCTTCCTAGTAGCCAAGCTAAATGCTGATCAAATGATTCCATTGCCACTCCTGAGGTCGACTCAAGTCACAGTCCTTTGCTCAACGTGCTCCCAATACTCTCTCCTACACCGCCTTTCCCTACCAATCCCCCAACTCCACTCCCCACTCCATCTTGCACAGCATCGAGGTCTTGGTCGCCGGTTTTTTGACCAGTGAGTACAGCTGAAACAATGAAGGGATCAGCAAATGCTCGCTGGACAGAAGAAACTCCTGTTATTTTCATCAACATACTTTTTAAGCCGTAGGAGGCTCTGTTTTCGCCTGTCTTGTCCAGGAGGACGTTTTGAAGTGTATGTTGATACGTGTCGAGGTAGCCCCCAACCCAAGCCATGGTGACGACGAGGGAGAAGATGGTGAAGCCAATTATGAGGAGGAGTTCATTGCCCATGATTGTCGAGTAGATACTTGCAAGAGGGAGATGGTGTGGGGAAGAGGTAAGTATTTACACTGTTCGTCTGTCGTGTGTACAGTGTACGAGACCCTCGCTAGACAGGTCTTGGCATTTGCCCCGCCAAGACGTGGGGCAGGGATCATCACGAGAGAGACAAGGCTGTGTATTTCTCCCTCGAGTCGAGCCACTTTTAGCTCCAAGTCCAATGTAATGCTATTCTCTTCCAACTCTCCAGATACATCCTGACTCACGCAGAGGATGCATAAGCCCGAATGTCCATGGGAGAGTATTTAGAGAGTATTTAGACTCGAGATCCCTTCGCGGCTCCCTCTTCCTATACACTGGATCCTACAAAACTCCTGACCATCTTGAACCCTTTTCCTGTCTCGTATATCTTGACTTCGTTGCGCTGTGAAGAATGCGATTGTCTCCATAATACGGGATCCCAACTTTCTGATTTTCCAGGTGGCTGAACTCGAGAAGCCTGCAACAGAGCGCAGTAAGAGAAGGGACGAGAAGGCAGGCGCGACCTATATCAAGCTAGGGGCCAGGGGCAGACTTCAAGATGAGTTGTATGTATACCTGCCAGGTGTCCGTTTTGCACGCCTGCATTTCTCTTATATTCTTTTCTAAACCTCGTTGCTCGGGAAAGACGTCGACATGGGGAGCCAAAAGGGGAAGCGTCCTGAGCTTGACCCTCCTCACTCCAAGAGGTCTCGTGAGGGTGTGCGAACCGTACTTTGTGACTTGGATGCGACAATCGTTGTTGCTCCTGAGAACAAATCTGATTCCACGAAGTGTGCTGACTCGCAACTTTTGTATAGTCTCAAACATGATGAACAAGCTGTCAGGACAGCCAGACAGCTACGATAAAAAGTACGTAATCCTCTAGTCAGCTCCCCTGAAACTCGCTCATAGAATTCCCAGGTCTCAGTACCGATTCGGCAGGACATTGGGAGCAGGGACGTACGGCATCGTGAGGGAAGCAGAATGCGGCGGAGAAAGATATGCTATCAAGATCATTCTCAAGAAGAACGTCAAAGGCAATGAGAAGATGGTGTACGACGAGATGGTCCTGCTGCAGAGGATGAAGCATCCCAACATTGTCCGGTTTCACGATTGGTTCGAGTCGAAGGTATTTGGAAAAGCACTTGGTATTAAAATGCAATGGAATTGACGTCTGCTGCTGTATAGGATAAGTACTACATCGTCACCCAACTGGCGACAGGGGGAGAGCTTTTTGACCGGATCTGCGAATACGGCAAGTTTACAGAGAAAGACGCCTCTCAAACGATCAAGCAAGTCCTCGAAGCCGTCGACTACCTCCATTACAACAACGTGGTCCACCGAGGTGACAATTCCCTACCAAGCCTTCTTCATGTCCGTGCTGCTTACTGTCATATAGATCTGAAACCCGAGAATCTCCTCTACCTGACCAAAGACGCACACTCTTCCCTCGTTCTCGCCGACTTCGGCATCGCGAAAATGCTCGACTCCAAAGACGCAATGCTGAATACCATGGCCGGCTCATTTGGCTACGCAGCCCCAGAAATCATGATGAAGCAAGGCCACGGCAAGCCCGTTGACATGTGGTCCCTAGGCGTCATCACTTACACCCTCCTCTGCGGCTACTCCCCTTTCCGCAGTGAGAACGTTGCAGACCTGATCGAAGAATGCAAAAGCGGGCGCATCGTGTTTCACGGCCGTTATTGGAAAGACGTCAGCTCAGACGCCAAAGACTTCATCGTCAGCTTGCTGCAACCAGACCCTAGCAAACGATTCACGAGCGAAGAAGCCCTGCAAGACGTCTGGCTAACAGGCAAGACAGCCACAGACTTCGATTTGCTACCTGAGTTCCGCGCTATCATGGCCAAGGCTCGTCTGAAGCGTGGCATCAATGTCATCAAACTCGCCAACCGCATCGAGGCGCTCAAGATGCAAGACCCAGAAGACGAAGACGGAACGTTGAGCCAACCTGATATACCGGCGGACTCGGCGGAAATGGCAGGGCAAAAGCTGGCCAAGAAAGGTACAGCCAGTACTGGGTTGCCGACCAACAATACTGGGAAGAAAAAGACTTTGAGCGAGGTGGCCAAGGGGGCTATATTCCGGGAGGTCGTGTTTGCCAAGGTGAGGGAGGAGAAGGAGAAGGTGGAGAGGGAAAAGGAGGCCAAGGCAGCGGAGGAAAAGGCGAAAAGGGGGAGCTACAATCCCCCAAGATGATCACCTTGCCGGCTGATGCGCCCAGGGCTGGCTACTTCTTTATTTTGCCCCCTTGGTCGCCAGGTTTCCCTCTGCCTTTCTACTTCTGGGGTTTCCTCGCTCTGTTCTCGATACCAAATTCAGGATTGGCGTTCTTGAGGCTTTATGCACAGCACGGCTAGATAGTGCACAGCGAGCGTCTTTATACGAGTATGGATAAAACGAAAACGGCGCGAGATTCTCTTACCTAAGCTCTGAACACCTATCTCGATAATTCTTTCCTGTACGCTACGTGCAATAGCAAGGTTGACGAAGTGTGCAATGTGTACGGCATTGCCTCATGCAGACTTTTCTTAGCATTGTTCTCCGCAAATAGTATACAGACTCCTGGTAGAAGAACAGCATGACAAGACCGATCCCAACAGCTGATTGACCTGCGCTAGTACTGATGCATCTGCCCGCTCACCAGTCCAGCCACCGCACCTTCACTCTTCTTCCTCCCCTAGGTACAAAGTTCAGGCACCGATCTGCTTACAATCACTCCGCAGGTCCTGATGATCGCGTAGTTCTCTTGTTGAGCTCCGCTTGAGATTTCTCAGTGGCAGTGCTAGCTGCGTCGACTACTTGATCCTTGGTGTCCATGGCGCTTTGCTTTACTTTCTCCGCTGCTTTCTGCACCTGGGGTGGTGGAGCGGCTGAGAGGCCAATGATACCAACAATCAATGCAATGACTGTCACAGCCAAAGCACCGATTCCGCCAGCGACTTCAGGAAGAGCCTTCACGGCTTCGACGGGGTCGTTCTTAGCTATGGCCCAGAAAAGGTCAACCTTCTCGCGGACGTAGTGGACTGGGTCGTCCATGAATTTGAGATCCATCGGAGACTTGGGCGATTCCTTTGCTGGTGGTGGCTTGCTGGCTTCCTCTTCTGCTACTTCGATGGCGTGCTTGACGTCGTAGGTTTCGGCTTTGAGTTTCTCTGCGTCCCCGACGGAGTGGCCAATGTAGATGTTATCGAAAAGGATGTCGCTCTGCATTGTCCAGATTTCAAACCCGATCTAAAATGTATTAGTGGCTGTTGCTAAAGTTAATGGGCAATAGAGTACTCACAGCGCCCATGGGCTCGAACTTGGAGGGCGTCTTGTCCTCAAAGTAATCAGGGTTAGGGATCTTCGCTGGTGCCCAAACACCCTTGTATGCTGGGTTATCAATGTACTCAGGAGTCCATTTGCCTTTGTAGGCAGGGTTTTTCTTGGTTGGTGGCTCCCATTTACCGCAGCCAGAGACTTCCTCACATTTGGGGTTTGGAACCGTGGGTGGGATCCAGTCACCATCTTCCTCATCATCCCAATCTTCTGGCTTCTCAGCCTCTGGGTCTGAGACCATGGTAGGCTCATCCTCGAGCCAGTCGTCAGGCTTAGTAGCTTCCTCGTCGATGATCTCAAATGGAGCGTCCTCATCCCAATCTTCAGGCTTGGTAGCTTCTGGGTCGGCGATTCTGGCCTCGTCGACCCAATCCTCGGGCTTGGTGTCCTTGGGGTCGTCGATTTCTTTGTCCGGGTTCACGGATGGCGTGAAATCTTCGAGAAGGTTGCCCTTCTTGCTTGATTCGCCGTTGATCTTGATTTCGAATTCATTGTCTTCGTAGACGATGAGCGTGTAGAGATTGGTAGTACCCTTAGTGATCTTCGCTGTTGGGGCGCTCTTGAGATGCTTCTCCTCGTATTCTCCAGTCTTTGGGTTCTTGTGCTTGAAGATGAAGTGGACCTAAAGTTACCGGTTAGCGGTTCTTCGCATAGCAGACCGAGCATTGCTTACCTTGTTCGTGGCACCGCACTTATCGGGGCCAAACATGATGACATAAGGAGAGGCGTTGGAGAATTCCTCCGCGTGTAGAGCCTTGTTGTCCTGGAGAAGCTTCATATATGCACCACCACATTCAAGACCGTCTATATATGCCATTAGCTCCCCTACTTCGAACCACGACCGAGGCAGATTGACGCTTACTTTGTAACTTGACCTCATACTGAACAACAAGGGTATTCTTCTTGTTGTCGATCTTTTTGGGAAACTTGGCGGATATGGCATGATGGGCTGCTGGATTTTTTACAACCAAACCCTTATCTTGCTCAATGGCCTTGAAGACATGGGGCTCCTCAACCGCCCACTCGCCGACGTATGCCCATTCTTCGGTGGTCTTAGAATCTTCTTTCTTTGCGTGGGAGGGTTTCCACCGTGAGTCCCAATCGTCTGTGAATTGTTCGAAAAAGTCTGCTTTGATTTTGGAAGGCTGTGAGACTTTAGCATGTGCTCACATAGGGAGTGACCAAGCATTGCTTGTGCTGGGGGGGGGGATCCTACAGTGAAGGTCGGCTTCTCGATGGCTGAGGTAGTGCTCGTCTCCTCTATTGAGGTCGATGAAGACTCGACAGCGTCATCGGTGTCGTCCGCTCGGACCTGGCCGAGTAGAGCAGCCGAAGAGTAAAGAGCTGTAGCAAGGACAGCGTTCACACGCATCTTGTCAAGCTGCTAACTGAAGCAGGGTGGCCTTTAAATACGGTACGAATGGACAGATAGCAGAAGGATCAATGATTCTGGAGTTGAATGAAGAAGTAAAAGCAGACTGGGGAAGAGATTGCTTTCAATTAGGCGGATGTTACAAAAGGACAGCATGGCTCTTCGAAGCTCCACAGAATTTCGAAGAAGTTACCCGCGGCTACACTAGCCACTTTGGGAAAGGTACTGTGGGCGCCAAGTCCTCACGACAATAAAGTAGGAGTTGGGGATGAAGCGTCTCGCGGCTGATGAGTCCTTTGAAAATGTTGTTTCAAGTTTTGTCTACACATGTATGTTGTATCGCTTCTACATCCTCGTCGCGCACTTTCTTCTGGCCAGATCGCACAGCATGCTACAGTTTCAAACCAGTTTGATAATCCAGATACTCGAAGTCTTAAGTTCAAGCGCTGCTTCTCATGGTTAGAAAGCAACACGTGTGTGCGGCAATTTGGAGTACTCGTATTCACTAGGATTTGCAATCTCTAAAACTTAATCTTTATAAATTATTATTCCACAACATTATAATAAAAAACTCGATTTTTTTTTAAAAGAATATGAATTGCGATTTTGATATTTTTAAGAATTTTTAAAAGTGCGTGAAGGCGGTCCTCGAGCATGAGGAAACCATAAAGGCGGTCACCGGCCTTGAATTGCTTGTTTTCGAGAAGCGTATTATCCCAGGTATGTACGTCAGTAGAGCAAATTATTCATCGGAAGTATCTGTTGACGTCAAGATTTTATTGAGGGGGCCTGGGTTGATGCTATCAGCGAGGTTTAGGACAGTCTGAATATGCAGTCCGGTGGGCAGAGCGAGAAAAGAGGACCAAGCTTTTGATCCTGACAGTATGGGTTTCTCGTCTTTCGAGGAGTCTTTCACCTGCTTGTTGTGCAAGCTGAGAATCTTGTTTCCAGCCCCAGAGGCCCCTAGATCTTGCTCGGCTGGACAGCCACCGCTACCGTGATATTTGCGTTCGTGCCTGTCATGCCCTCATTGGCCGCTTTATTTTTCTCTTCGGCCAACTTCAACTTGTCAACTGCGGACATACCGAGGCTTCTGTGGGAAAGTCGACGAAACGTCTTTCACACAACTTCGATTTTGTAGAACGCAGATAATGGCAAAGACGAAGGAATGGAGTGTAGACCCTGAAGACTCTGGAGACCCAGTAGCCACCAGTGGTAATAGTCCTGGCTGCAGATCAACCGGCCTCTGATTTGCCGACTGTGTATCAGATGCTGCAAGTGTCTCGACACTGTTGTGTTTAGCAATTGGCTTTCGATTTTCATGGCTATGTTGATCAACATTGTGTTGACCAGCATTGTGTTGTTCAAGTGAGTCAATCACTTTCTGGCTCTTCCCAAGGTTTAATTCTCGAGGTTCCGAAGGATCCCTGCTCGTCGCGTCTAACGCGCAGGCGCGTAAATCCAGTGAGGCCAAGACCAAACAATGCATTACTTTACAAACAGGCTTTGCGGTCTTCTACTTGCCGTAGACGGTATTCATGGCGTCCGAGAGTCTGGAAGATTCCGATGACGAGGACCATACTTCTCCCCAACCAGTACAACGTCCAGCCAAGCGGCGGAAAGTTGTCTCGTCTGACTATGGCACTGATGCAGATTCGACCGGGGAGGGTGACTTCTTTGCTGCTTCTGGTACTTCAGCCCAAGACCTTCACGCGACGGAGAAAAACGACAACGAAGATGGAGAGAACGCAAAGCCCAAGTCAAAATACAAGATTCACATTCCGAAGAACTCGGAATTGCCCTCTGACGCCTTCTTTACTCAACCGCCTCAGAGGTCCTCAAGTCCTTATCGAATTGACCAGTTCCATTGGCACAAGCCAAGAAAGCCATCGCCACCGTCAATGACTATTCAACGAGAAGGCCCCAAGCAACATACGCCAAGGAACCCGCATGTCAATACGACTTCCACCAGACAAGATCAAGTTGAGAGGCGTGTACTATTTCAGCCTCAAGAACGCGAAGAGGCTGATGACGATTTCGGCCTGGATGAGAGCTATGAGGATGTGCTGGCTGATTTACCATCTGACGCATTCTCCTCACCCAATGGTCTTTCCAAAGTTGCGTCTAGAGAGCCAATATTCATCTCGTCGCAGCAAGAGTACCCTTCTCAACCTTTGCAAAATCACAGGCTAGCTGCACCTCTTGCGAATCTTCGACAAACCACCTTGTTCGGGACCCAGGTTCAAGGAGTCCCGTCACAAACGCAATCGTCGAGGAAACACAATTGGCCAATGGCAAATAGAGAGGAAACCCCAACCCACCACAAGTTGGACCGAGAGGCACTGGCTACTTGGGTCTATCCAATAAACTTGGGCACTATTCGCGATTACCAATATAGCATCGTCGCAAGGGGTTTATACCACAATATGCTCGTCGCTTTACCAACTGGACTTGGCAAGACATTCATTGCGGCAACTATAATGCTCAATTGGTTTCGATGGACCAC